ACAAAGATTCTAGTTTTGAGATCCTATAAGATTCTCGGTTTAACTCTCATCCTTTTTAAAAGTCTAGTTGCTAAAGACTGAAAGTTAGCTGTCCTGGGTTTTAAGAAATTCTATTTTAAATAAGTAAAAAAGGGGTCATTTATATCTTGTCAGGAAATGTAAAATATAAGGTTCTAGGTAGAAAATGACACTGAAGAACTCATTCGCTGGAGATAGAGAAGACAGAAGATATCTCTTTAGATTAACATGTTAGGCTGCACAACTCATCCAGGAGAAAGGTCGATTATCTCTGATGATCATGTAAAAAGCAAAGCCAGATGTTCATATTTTTCAGAAAACAAACATACTTCCAGGTTAAGTGTCTATTTTTTAAAAATGTTTTCATATTCTAAATTATATGTCTCTCTAATTCTTGGGTTTGAATTATTGTTATTTATAAGAATTATGAATAGTAATAACAACCATACAAGTTAAATATCAGCAGTATGTTAATAAAATGTGTTTAAAAGCTTTTTAATGGCAAACAAAAATCAATCCCTTTCATTATTTTCTGAATTCAAAACGTTTAGAGAACGTGGACACCTGTGGTATAATGAGACGAGCTGACTTAATGTTCACAGGCAACTGAGCACGATGCCTTATTGTGTTAAATACAGATTTTGAATTGAGTATCTGAATCAAATTCTCATTCAACTGCTGCTAGTTCTACCTTTAAAATAAATTGATCTAGGTGGAATACTGCAAGGTACATTTTTTTATTTATGTGATTAAAAACTACTTTCAGGGGGAATAATGGCACTCTAATATTTCCTTCAGAATTCTAATAAGTTATATAAAAGCACTCTTTCATAAGCCGCCAAGCACAGCCAACATTACCATATTTTCTTTTGGGAATTAGATATGCAAATAAATACTATTATGAGATTAAAATTTAATATGATTCAATGAATTGCCTATGATCAATGTGAAAGTATTTCCATTGAAATTTATTTTAAATAACAAATCTCCAGTTCCTTTCAGGCTCAGAGTCTTGTGTGATAAGATATTTAAGGTTTTTTTTTTAAGATTTATTTATTTATGCATACAAGAGCTGGGGTACAGGCCAGAGGTGTGGGGGAGTGAGAGGATTCATCAGAGACAGAGTGGGGAACAGAACAGGCAGATTGACTGAAATACACTGCTGAGGGGAGCAGCGGGCAAGCCAGGAGAGGTCTGCTGCACCATGTAGATTGCTCCCTGGCTGGCCGGGGAGATTGAACTTGCGCTGCAGAGGCTGCGGATTGCTTCATAGGTTGCGTCTTAACCCTTGCGCCACCAGGAAGGCACCTAAGGCCTTTTAAGTTGTTTTTTTTTGTTTGTTTGTTTGTTTGTTTAAAGATTTATTTATTTATTTATTTATTTATTTATTTATTTATTTATTTATTTATTTATTTATTTATTTATACAAGCACTGGGTACAGTCAGAAGCGCGGGAGGGTGAGAAAATTCACCAGAGCCAGAGCGGGGAGCAGAGCCGGCAGAAGGACCAAAGTACACTGCTGAGGGGAGCAGCGGGCAGCAGGAGAGGTCTGCGCGCCATGCGGGACCCTCCTCTGGTGGCCAGGGAGCAGCCGGGGATCGAACCGGTGCTGCAGAGGCTGCAGGCAGCTTCGCAACCCAGCACTCAACTGCTGCGCCACCAGGGAGGCCCTAAGTTGTTTTTATTCCACTATTTTCATAGGGGCAACATTGGTTTTCAACACTGACTATGCTTCAGAAGTGTCAGATCACACCTCTTCAGGAAAATTCCACACCCATGTTCACTGCAGCCAAATTATGGAAACAACCTAAGTACCCAGAACAGATGAGTAGCTTAAGAAGAGGTGGTACATGTACACTCAATGATCAAAAAGATAAACTCATGTCATTTGAGGCAACATGGATGGAGCTGGAAGGGATCATGCTACACAGACATAAGTTAAAAGGAAAAAGACAAATACCGAATGGTGTCACTTACATGTGACTATAGAGAAACCAAATAAAGTGTATGATAAAGCCAAACTAAGAACTGAGCCTAGAAAGCTGATTCTGGAACTGAGGCTATCAGAGGGGGAGGTTCAAGGTTGAGAACAAAATGGCGGGGGGAGCACAATGGACAGTTGTGGTGGATTAGGGGTGCTTTGGTGGTGGATACACTACAATAACAACAACTGAACGGGAGACCCTATGCTTCCAAAATATAAATAATGATGTAAAGCAATGTTACCTCAATAAAAATTGAAAATGAAAAAATAACCACAAGGACAAAGCAAAAAAAAAAATCACACCTCTTCAGATGAATGTTACTACACACCCGTCACCAAGGCACCCTATAGATGAATATTGATTTTTTTTTTTAAATTCACTAGTGTCCCTGGAGAGTTGCGGATTCATAGTGAATAAGTGTAGATTTCAGATGTACTGGCAGCTGAGGCTTTGGTCACCTTGCTGGGGGTGATCACATAACACCACTGGTCATAGGCAGAGGGGAGCTGAGTGTGTACAGTAAGACAACTTCTATTCAGTACTTTGCAGAGCTCACAGAGGTGGAACATACCAGGGCCAAGGGCAATACATGAACACGATGATTCTCATACTTTAACATGTAGGAGTCACCCAAGGGTCTTATTAAAATTAGATTTCACCCAGTAGGCTTGGATATGATATTCTGCATTTCTAATGTGCTCCCAGGACACACCAATCCTGTTGGATCACTCTGAGCAGCAAACTTTCAGAACACTGATGCTGTTCTTCCAATCTCGAAAGAAACATGTGGCCAAGAATTGGGGGCCCTGGTGGTCGCATCAAGTCTGCTGCTATTAACTAATGGAATATTAATTCCCATTCTACAAAAACAGAAAATTACTTTATCTCTATTAAGGTGTTTATGATCTCCTTTTGTAAAATGACAGATCTGGACTAGGTTATCTTCAGATTTCTTTAGAACTACAAAATTTAAGCATTTTAAAATAACCTTATTTTTATTTTGGCAGCTTTCTTCCATATTTGCCTTCATAAACAGGAAAACTCAGAAAGTTTCATTGCACTGTATTACTCCCAAAGTCACCATTGAGTTGTGTTTTGTGTTCTTTGAACCAAATGACAGCTATATTGAGGTCAGTTTCTATACTCTTCCCCCGTAATTCTTAAAACACTATTCAGATTAGTATTATCCTTTAAGGAGAAGCCTTACAAATAGAGTCTGTGGGGTTGATTATCTATTGCCCAAGTGAAAATGTAGTTCCTGTTATTTCATTTTTTCAGAGCAGCTGTAATATTCTTAGAGGGTGATTCTTTAAATGGAGTCAACCTCATACAATGTTCCCCTGCTAAGTGGCAGGCACTGGTAAGGATTTCAAAGTGCATGTAACAGGAACAAATTCTTTCCATTCTCTGAAGAGATTTTGAGTCAGCTACTTCCTGTTTATTCCCATTATCAACATCTTTGTTCAGAATTTCATTAACTCTTGTCTGGACTACTGTTCTAATCCACCAACTGGAGTTGCAGCTCCAGCTTTCCACTCCTTAGCTATTGCAATCCTGCTCTGCTGGAGCAAATCCCCACATCTCAACAAAGTGCATATCTCTTCCAATCAGTACCCTGCCACGGGCCTCAGCAGCACCCTCATGCACTGGGTCCACCCATTCATTCATGGGTTCCCACTACTTCCTTCACCAATATTTCCTACATTTCCCGTATCTGTGACTCTGTTTATACATCTCCTCTGTCTGAGAGAGTGTCTTCTATAAAACCCGACTCACTCTTGACACCTGTAAATGCCTGTTCTTGCCTAAAGTGTTCCCTGATTTCTTCCACAAGGAGTTGAACTCATGTATAACCTGCTCTCGATTTTCGACTCAATACCAACATCCCTATATATGCTTTTTCTGCATATGCTTTCTGCATATACATTCTCCCTGATCTCTACTATACAATTTTGGAGAATGTGTAGTGTGGCATAATTATCTTTGTAACCCTTAAAATGACATTTCATTTCTCTATATCTGTTGAAGAAGAGTGAATAGATAATATAGCTTCAGTGTTAATCTGTGGATCAAATGATCAGAAACTGCTGAAGCTTACAATTTATTAGTTTTATTTAGTTTTTATTGTAGGCAAATAACTTAATCTCTATGACCCAGCACTCATATATATATATATTTTTTGAGAGGATACGGGATATCTGGTAAATTATTTTACTCAATGAATATAAAATACAATGTTATATTAAAAATTGAGAAAAGGGAACTCTTGACTTTCTGGATTTTTGTAAATATTGTCATAAGTGTATTTCAGATTCAAATTCTGTGTTAAGAAAATTTTTGATGTGAATTCTGACTATACCAAGATGATACAGTTTATATTTAAGGTTCTAAATATGCAACACAATAACACCAATGTCACAATTTATTGCTACACAGAGCTAACTTTTTTTAAAAGAAAAAATAGAATTCTTCCTTTGAATTCCATAGACACAGCTTTAGGAATGCTGCCATTATTGTCTGGCATGGTTTGGGGGGCATTTAATGTGTCCTGTGCAAGATATAGTGTACATTACTTTTTCCCCCTTAAAAGATAGAAGTGAAAAAGTAAAAAAAAAAAAAATCCACAATCTTTATAGGATTTGTGAGCTTTGTGTGCATACCAAATTGATTTCCCATGCTCCCCAAGACACATGATGGTTGGGATGCTCAGCTGCAGTGCATTAACCCTTGTAGGACATTAGGCTGATCTAGCAGTGCAATATTGCTATAATCGTGAAAACTTCTCAAGATAAAACTTGAAAAAAAATGTTCAATAATTAATTAGCTAAAATTGATCTGTAATATTATAAAAGCTTTTTAGACTTAATAATAATAAAATAACTCATTATCACATAATTTTCAATATTATCTCTTCCAGTCAATTCCCTTGTAAGAAAATATAAATTTTACCTAGTTCTAATAAACTATAAAAATGGAAATTTAATTCAATAAGATTTTAAAACTGCCTGAGAAATCTACATTGGTTATATAAGAATTTTCCCATCATTGTCCACCAATACCAGTTTAAAAAAAAATAGGGTTATAATTTTCTAAGGAATATTTCCTATAATATCCTTTTCTTTTGACACCTATACTTCTCCAATGAGATCATAGAAAACATATGTCTGTCAAGAAATTAAAACTTCAACTCAATAGCTATTATATGTATTTGAGAGCCTTATTTTGTATAACACTCACTGCTTTTCAAACACTCCTGAGGTGTTTCATGTCAGTTCTTATTCACTGCAAAAGTCAAGGAAAGTTTGAACGTGTTTGTAACACCAGATTACACACCCTAATGTTATTATTTTTTCTTTAGCTATTTTTCTTTAAAAGATAGAAGCACATAGTTTAGTCTGCATCATTCAGATGATCAAGGTTGAGATAAATGTAAATAATATCTCTCTTTTCATCCCTGGACTCTTGTATGTCAATGGTCTATAACACAGATCATGATTCTATTCTCAGAGTGATTACTTACAGAATTACTTGGTAAAGCAAAAGCATAACAAGAAACAGAGAAACCACGTTTCAAACTGTCAGTCTTTCTTCCACTTTGGAAAACTTTATATTTGACTCTCTTTACAAATTTAAGTATGTCCATAATTTAGGAATAATGTATTCCGTGGTTCCTGGAGAGCGAACGGAAATTGAAAGATTGTGAACAAGCCTGTATAATCTAACAACAAAGACTGGTGTGCTCTAAACACTCTTTTATGCTTTTATTAGAACTTTAACTAGCTTTTGCCATCTACATATGCGAGTCATTTAAACATGCAAACTCCAGATCAGAAAATTCATGGTCTGGTGTGTGGTCTCAAGTATGGCTTAAGTAATGCTGGCACTACACAAAATGATTGTAGGGGTTCACCAAGTAACATTTCTCATTTTAATAGATATACATTTATTTTAAGGTATTAGAAAAATATATATATCTAGTAAATCAAACATATTACCTTACAGTTATTCTTCCTGGGGTTAAGCTTCCTTTTTATATAAATTTAAGTTTAAAAAATGAGTACATTTAAATAAAATATTAGGTAAATACAGTGTATTATTGGCAAAGATCACAACGGTGGCTTGGGAATCTCTGGGGAGAGGAAATCAAGGTGAGATTGGGATCAGGTGAGGTTTGCTCTGGCTGTAGCTCTGTCACCAACTAGCTGTACTGCCTTAGCTAAGTCAGACCTCTCTAGTCTCAAATCTTTATTTGTAAAAATTATTAGGGTGATCTCTAAGCCTCTCATTGGCACCCGCATTCTGTTATACTCTCTTGTCAACACCAACTTCTATACAACAAAAGTCAGCATTCTAAGTCTTAACTCCAGATGTCCTTGCTTAAACTGTCAGGGAAATAGCAGACCTAATGTGGAATGAAACACTCTACTAGTAGATTAGAACAAGTCTGTGAAAGATCGGAGATGAGCTAGATCTTGCTTAGTAACTTAATTTTTTTTTCCCATGTGGGAAGGATTCCAAGCAGCTTTGCAGTTTCTCATTGATATGTAGCCAAACAGCAGAGGCTTTGCTGTGCTGTAACCCACGTGTGTTGCTATCGGGCTAAGCCGGCATGAGAAGCCTGGAGCCCATGATGCAATGAGAAAGAGGATTTAAGTAACACCAGTCTTAGAAGAAAAATGCACTGCTATTAGATGGGGGAAAAGATAGACAAGTGCTAGTTTAAGGTAAAGAGTTGTGTTTTAAGAAACAGGAAGAGACTAAAGTCTTAAGACAACTTAAGATAGCTTCTCCAGTTTCTGGTTTTGCTTTTTTTCACTCTGAAAATAGAAAACATGTAGACTAGTTGTTTATTTTCAGGGGTAATGAAATTTGAACCCCCAATTAGTGCTCTGTGCTTCTACTTTGCTTTCATGAGTTAGTTCTCTTCTCCATGACTGGAATACAATTCAAATCAAAACCTAACTACAAGTACCAAAACGACATTCAGCGTAGAAAATCTCTAACAGCAGTATTTTTATGGCCAGGCTCTATGTTACCTAAAATAATCTCTACTGTTGGAAAGTAAGCCACATTTTCCTTGAATTAGAGTTGCTGTTCCTTGTAGAAGGCCCTAGAGTCACAGAAGGTTATTTATCATTAGTTAAAGCTATGGGCGCTTTCTCCTTCTTGCCTAAAAAATATTGATATTGACCAATTAGGTTGTGAGGTGGAAAAGGGAACTTGATAGTAAACTGTGAATATTTGAACTAAGCATTTTGGAATAAAATACTTTCTTTTTCTGTTTGGAATACTAATTATATCTATTTAACCTATTCAACTGAACAAACAATGACAAAACCAGTACAATCTACTTTTTATGAGCACAGATCTGCTTGCTATGGCGCAAAAAAAGATAAATGATACTATGGGTGAAAAATTCTACCTACGACTTCTAAAAAAGCAAATTCATGGAGGACAGCTAAACATTCAGCACATGAATACAGAAACCGGTCCTCTGGAATGCTAACAACTTCATTGTCTGTTGCAATCTCAAAGTCCTTTTGGAAAAAAATGTGGCTTCACAATTTTTTCTAGGTTTTTACACTCTTGTTAAAAATACCTCCAGCCATGAGTCCTTGGTCTGTGGTAATAACTGATCTTTGCTGTCCTCACTGTCCTGAGGCGGATCCATCACCGCTGGTTCATTCTCCCCCGCAGAATGGCTGCCAGCCTTTGTTTGGTCTCTGCGACTGATGGCCGGCCTCTGGGAGGATGCGGCTGGGGAACAGTGGGCAGACCCGAGCTGCGGAACTGTTGGGACTTAGCTGTGGTGGGGGAAGTGCTGGCTCTTGGCAGCCCGTGCAGGCTAGATATTTTGAATCCTTTTGTAGAGTTCAGTCTTGCCAGGCCTCTCTCTCCCTGGTCACTGACAGTGGCCATGGGGGAGGTTAGCCCACCCTGGCTGAGGGGAGCTGGGGACAGTGGCAGGCTCACACTGAGCCTCTGGAACGCCAGGAGCTGTTCCCTGGCTTGACTCAAAGCCTCTGTCAGCTCGAAGCGTTCTTCACACTCTCTCCGCACCGTTTCCTGAAGAAAAGTGTTCTGCAAGGAGAAAGGAGAAAGCACCCCTAGCTTTAAACTGCATATACATGGACAGCTGTCAGCACACACACTGAGCACTGGACAAAGGTCTGTACTTGACTGTCTCTGTGGATAGTCTACAGGGACAGACTAGTCCAAAAGATTTGTGATTTGTGAAACTGGAAAGGACTTTTCAGAGAACATTTGATGCAACCCCTCCAGTTTGCAGAAGAGGAACCAAGAGTCAGAGAACTTCCATGTTCTTCCCAGCATTGCTGAGATGGTGGAGGGGGTGGGGCTGGAATTGGAACCAGAACTTTTATTGCCTAGTGCCCTGGGGGTTTGGCTCCGTGTCCTGTGCTCAGACAGGTCCTGCACATGTAATATGTCACAGTAACGCCCGAGTGTCCCTGACTGCCATTTCATAGTGAAGGCACACTGCAATACCTGAGACAGGTACAACTGCTTGAGTGATAAGATTGGAAGAACAAAACATATCAGCTATAGTATTTGAACAATGAAATTAGTTACTGTATAGGATGCTTTCTCAATAGAATTTAAATACACTGACCCTTTGATATTCTGTAAGACATTTAATAATCATTATAAATCAAAATAATGATCATCTAGGGCCTCCCCTAGTGGCGCAGCGGTTGAGCGCTGGGCTGCAAAGCTGCCTGCAGCCTCTGCAGCACCAGTTCGATCCCAGGCCGCCAGCAAGGTTCCCACATGGCGCGGCAGACCTCTCCTGTCGCCCGCTGCTCCCCTCAGCAGTGTATTTCATCAGTCTGCCTGTTCTGTTCCTCACTCTGGCTCTGGTGAATTGTCTCATCCTCCCGTGCTTCTGACTGTACCCAGTGGTTGTATAAATAAATAAATAAATCTTTAAAAAAAAAAAAATAATGAGCATCTACTTTTCACTCCATTCAACAATCATTTACCAAGTTACTAGAAGCTGCAATGGATACAATTCCTGTCCATAAGAAGTTTGCAGCCTCATAAAAGTTTGAGCAATGCTGCTTTCTATATCCCCAATAGTTTGGAGTCAAAGGTCGGAAGCTGTGGGGTTTAAGATTAGGAAGAACTTTTTAATACCTGGGGCTGTCCAAAGGACTCTCAAAGACTGAATCTCACTTGGCTGGGATATACTGGAGCAAACTTAAACTTCAATTGTCTGTTCTAAAAAGGCCCTTTTTAATTATGAGACTCTAAATTTCTTTCTAGTTAAAGTTACCCAGCCTTCATTTATGGACTTTATCAAGTTGCTTCAAGTTCCATGGTGAAAATCAGGTCTTGGATCTCCCTAGTACCTTGATAATCCACATCTGTTGGATGTCAAACAAAAGGTAAAAAGTAAGCAATTCAGAATGGCATCTGAATAAGTAGACACAAGTTAAATGATGGTGCTATAGCATCTACAAAGTGAAAATGAGTTTTCATCCTGTTGGCTTGTTTGTAAAAGCAGCCCTGGCCTTCCAAGTCCAATTCTCAGTGGGTGGTGTGCCCCTGAGGGTGTGCTGACTGACCAGCAACGGACATCAGGGAAAGTGGCATCTTCCTGTATGTGGGTTTCTTGTGACTAATAAATTCCATTCAATTCCAAATTTGGTAATCAAAACAGCAGAATAAGGAGTAATTCCAGATTAACAGTTGCACAGTAATTTTCTATAATGTCAGCTGCATGCCTGGGTCAAACAAGGGCTCATATTTACATGTATTATAAACACACATGCACAATCCATCTATCTATAGAGTTATAAAAGTCATGAGAGTTAATTGCTTGCCTCCAGTTACTTATTTGGTGGCAGGGGTGGGGGGTGAGGTAAACAGGAGACCAAGGATGGTATCTGTGGCTTTATCTTTTGGTTCTCATGAACTATACCTGAAGCACTTATTGAAAAGGCAGGGAGGGAGGGTTAGCAAAGATTAACAAGATGCTATGCAGTTTCATCTCACTTCCAGCTCCCAACAATTATATTTAACAAAGAAAGACATGAATCGCAGAGTGGTTATGTCACTTGCTGAGAGTGACCCAGCTCTCCTGTCGGCCTCCAAAGCCCTGTTTCATGTGCCCAGGCTAAACTCATTGTCTCATTAATTACATCAAGCATAAAGGGGCCATTTTGTTCCAGAACACTGAAGCAGTAAAAAAACAGTAAGACATTTCATCTGCTTTTGTCCTACTTTTCTAAACTTTCTTTTAAAAGGAAAAAAAAATCAATGTATTATGTTTCCTGTCTACTAGAACAGTAAGTTGGCAAAATGTATATGTGATTAGATTAGGCTTTCAATAAATTAGTATAAAAAGTCCCTTTATTAAGTGAGGTATAAGAAAGTTAATTTTATTTGAATGTGTAAAAGAAAAAAGGGGCAGTAGTTAACAAGGAGGTCAATAAATTGATGGCATGGATAATAAGTGCACCAATATAAGAGGATAAAGTGATGGGTGATGGGATTTCAAGAGCTTTCAATAGAAGAAAAATAAAATTCAATCAGCTTACTAAATTTAAATTCCAATTTCAAAGGAGTAGTACTCTATAGAAAACATGAACGGAGCAAGTCACCCCAAGTTATTTCAGGCGAGCAATGCTCCACGAAAGGAGAAAATGTAAAGATGATGTGAACCCAAAGACCCTCCTGTAGCCAGTGCAATGGCAGCCAGGCGCCTGCCAGCTCCTCAGTGAATGTGGGCAGTCTGCTGGCCCTCCGTCTGAGGTCCACTGCTCTTCTTCAAGGCTATTGACTTCCAGAACAAAGGATGGATTATCTTTCTTCAAATATTTCCTAAACCAGTTTCCTAAATTTCTTATTTTCTGAACTGAAAACAATCCAACGTTACGAGTCCCATTTTTGTGCTACAAACACTAGGAAATCTCAGGTGAGTCCCACAATATCTGCATTTCCTCTGCCACCACCACATCCTCCGTGAGAGTAAAATTAGAACTCAGTTTTGTACAATAGGCAGCTCAGATTGTTGTGGTTTATTCAACTATGCCTCCCCTCCCCGCCCCACAAAAAAAAAGGAAACAGAACACATGCAGTTAGGAAGCTGCTGTTTCAGGGATAGAATATGTGTGATGGGGTGACAAGCACACACGTGGGTGTGGACATAGACAGTAAGACACATTAGTGGAAAGTTCCATCATATGTGGAAAAGAATCATCTACATGTGGTTAGATTGTTTTCAGTAATTTATAAAAATGTTTGTCTTTGGGGGCTGTTTGTCTTTTTGGAAGTTGTGTTGTTACAGAATTTGATTATGTGTTTCCAATGAATGACATGAGTGACTGTGTGAGATGGAGCACATTCAGTAAGACTGACAGTTGTAGGCAGACAGGAGAATAATTGGTGAATTCACAACATTCCAAATGCTCAGACTGAATGACCTTAGGTCATATTTCAGCATGATAAAATAGCATTGGTGGGGAGCATCTAAAACCAAAATGCACTGGTAAGTCAAAATGAAAGGGCAGCCTGCAGGGGCAGGGGCTTTAGAGGCAGAGTGGGCAGTGAGACGGAAGGAACACAGCAGGGGCGACCCCAGGCTTGGTGGTGATTCAGGTACAGGGACGCCAGGTGGGGGAGAGAATTCTGGGGACAACACGAGGCTTGGTGAGACTCAGAAAGCACTCAGGTCAGAAGGGTGAGTGGGGTCACAGCCAGGTGTCTTGGGTGATATGCTCATACTAGGTCTTTGACTTCATTCTGAGAGCCATGTGGGGCCCCCAAGGTGAACTGCAAGCAGAGGCTGGCACAGTCAGAACTGCATTAAAGAAAACTTCTTTTGCCAGCTCTGAGGGCAAAGGCCTGGAGTGGGACATGATGGGAGGCAGGGAGGACAGAGGAGCCAGAGCTGCCATGGAGGAGGCCCCTCCCGAGTGCCCCTTGGTCAGGATAGTCTCGGCAAGGGAGACCCAGCATTCCTGGGACCTCTAGCGCTGCTAACGGGTAGAGCGCATTATCTATAGACATCTCTTCCAGCATTTTCAGATGAAGGTCACTTTGAATGGGCTTAAAATATGGCTTAATTGCATTCCTGTTGGGTAAGTAAATGTCAAAATGAAAATATAAATTAGCTCACCATCTGTTTGAAATTTCTAATATTAAAAAATGGCCAATTTCCCCCACTCGTTGCAATGTAAGAGTGGTTTATTTTTATGTTTGTTTTCATTTTTATCCTTAGAGACAGCTGGGTTGTATTCAATTCCCAAAAACAGTGGAAGAAGGAAGACTTTGCTGGTTAACACGATTGTTCTAAAGGTGAGAATTCCATTCACAGTGGCAATCAGCTGTATTTGGCATAATTTGGGGGGACGGGGCATGCCAGGAACACAAGTCCTCCGTGGAGAGTGAGCACACACCATGTCTCTACTTTAAGCCTGGTGAGGTCTGAATAACAGTCATAGAATTCTCAGATGACAGTTTCCATCCAGACTAAATCCATCCCAGGGTGAGTGGATGGCCAGCTGGCTGGGCAGGGAGCTGAGGGGAAATGAAACCGTGGAAAAGGTGTGGAAACCAGAAAGATGAGTAGGAGTCAGCAAAAGACATGCCCAGCTTCCATGTAGGGTTTCTGTTCAACGATTCTGAACAGTCCAGAACAGTGCAGGAAAGAGAGGAAATGCCTCTTTGGTGAGGCAGGAATGAGGCTGAAAATTTTCCAGGAAAGAAGTAAGATGGAAGCCGAGCAGGTTGTTGTTAGTTTAGTATTTCTACGCTTGCAATCACAATGGTCTGTGAAAGGATAAGGCAGATGTGTCAAAACAGAAGAAACAGAGGTCCTTGAAAGCTGACTGTAGAACTGAAGCAGCCAGAGTGGGAGGGGGAGGTGGTGGGGCGAGAACAAAGAGGAAAGAGAGCACAACGGACTAGGGGAGAGATGGTGGGCGATCTGGCGGCAGGTGCACAGCTTCGGGTATAGGTGACTAAAGCTGAAATGGGGGGGGGTGAATCTTATACTTTCAAAATCTTATACTTTCATTATTGTTGCTTATACCAACAATAATGTAAGCCAATGTTACCTTAATAAAAATTAATAATGTATGATACTGAATTAATTTATGATACCTAATTTATGATAATTGATTATATGATACTTAATTATATGAGAATTTTAATATTATAAACCTAGATCATTTATTTTTGACTGTTATTTCTAGGATTATTTTAATGCCCAATATTACTATAATTTTTTTAGACTCTGTTGCCTGTACTCTGGTTACTGTTGTACTTATCAACAGCATGATAATAAACCAGTTTTTAAAATTAAAAAAATAAAAACAGTCAGAGGGGATGGCCCTTGGGCTAAGATGCTGAAAAGCAGACTCAGAATGGGGAAGGAGAGCTGTGAAGAGCTCAGAATTTACTTTTCTTACTCAATTATCTGACTTCAATTAAAATTTAATTAGTATAAATTAAACACAACCAAACCAATTTCTCCATGTTTTGTCTCCTTCTGTCCATCTCCTGGCATCTGTCTATAACCTGCATCAGGGCTGACTATCTCCACTGCAGTGAAAGATCAAGTCTTGCCTGGATCCTAGACCGGCCACTCCACCGCTGGAGAATCTGAGCACCTGTCTCCCCTTTGCCCACGGCTTCGTTCTCAGGTTCTCAGTTCCCAGCCTCCCTGCCAAGCAATCCTAGGAAAGCCCCTGCCCTCTAAAATTTCTATGGTCTTCACTCTCCTGCTCCTTGAAGTCAGAGAACCTCCATTTAACCCCTTGCTCTTTAAAAGAGACTTAGATATTTTAATTGTATTAGGCATCAATGGTGAGAGTCACTCACTTGTTAATTTGCTAACTGGTACTTTGGTTACTCATAAATGGAATTATCAGAGATGCTATTTACTCTATGTCAATTAAATGTGCAAATGCTTATATACATGTTCTAAAACTGAGCAAATTCCTCTTGCAAAAAAAGCTATTTGTATTTGAAAATGCCATGTATTCTAAAATTTAATCTTAAAGTCTACATAAACTCTTCTTTGCCAGATTTATTAATAAGTTTTCTTAAATAAATGAGTTTTCTTTCTTTTTTTTAAAAAAATTGATCTTACATATGATAATATTTAAAAATACAAAAAGCTTTAAGGTCATCCATAATCCCAATATTAAAAAAAAAAGTATATAAGAAGTGAAATCCCTGTCCATCTCTTCCTAGCCCCCAATGGTAACCACTATTAATTGTCACTCACACACACACACACACACACACACACACACACACACACACCCCACATACAATGGAATATTATTCAGCCATGAGAAAGATGGAAATCCTGCTATTGTGAGAACATGGCCCCCTTCATCCATTTCTCAACCCCCCAACCCCTGCCTCTGGCAACCACCAATCTGTTTTCTGTATCCATGAGTTTGGTTTTTGTTTTCTAAAGAGTTCACAGGTAAAAGAAATCATACAGTATTTGCTCTCTCTGTCTGACTTAGCTCATGGGCATAATGCCCTTGAAAACCATTCAGGTTTTTAAGCTGCTTCTTATGATATTTGTCACTGTATTTCTAATGTCATTACACAGCAATCTCATGGCTTTTCAGTCTTGAACATTCCCTCTGACTTCATAGAATTGACGAGGATTTAGCTTCCTATTCCAACTCCCAGCAGACACCGCCTCCATGAAATGTTTCTCCTCTACCAATTACATTTCTATCACCATTTTCAGTTCAGTGCCATGTTCTGCTTTATCAGATTACAGTATATAATTATTATGCACACCTGAGATGCAAGTTTAGTATGATCACATTTGTTTCGTGCATAGCATCCCTCCAGAGCTCAGGATTATCCCATTATTTATCTGCCTAGTTTTCTAAGTGTTGATTACTAATTTTTCACCAAATTCATTGACAGGCGTGGATACTTTCCCTGCATGCTCAAGCTCTCTGTGTAAGCCATCAGCTTCTCTTTGTCTTGGACACAAAACGTCTAAGAATCCTCTATCCTTGCGCTGAACTGAGCATGGTTGTCTCCACTCACTGTGCTGCTGTGCTCCTTGCCTTTCTTCCTGCCTCTTCCTGGATTCCCTACCACATTCCCATTTGAGGTCTTCCTGCCTTGATTCCTAACTGTGTCCTCTTCTCATAGTTTACACGTACTTCACTGTGGTGTCATAACCGCTTCCCGGGAAAGGCTACAAGGGAACTATCGTTTCTGAAAACTCTTATGTCTAAAAATAGCCTATTTGACACTTGATTGATAATTGAGCAGAAGACAGAATTCTAGGATGGAAATAATTTTCCTTCAGAATTTGAAAGCCATTGTTTTCTAATTTCTATTGTTACTGGTAAGGATTCTGATAGCATTTTGATTCCTGGTTCTATTTAAGTGATTTTTTGCGGGGAGAACCTTGTAAGTACTTTTGCTTACCCTTAAGATACTGACATTTCATGAAGAAGTGCTTTGGTGTCGCTGCTTTGCCATCCATTATGTTGGGTGAACCCTTTCAATTAGAAAAATGTGTCCTTTAGTTCTTAGAGCTATCCCTGAATTAGTTCCTGCATAGTTTCCCACTCCCATTTTCTCTCTTTTCCTCTCGGGCCCCTGTCAGCAGTTTTAGATAGTCCGGCTTGATCCTGTCTATTTTTTTTTTTCACCCCATCTCTTTTGATTTTTCCTTTTACCTTCTGAGACATTTCATCATCTTTATCATCTAACCCAAATACTGATTTTTCACATCAGTTTTTATATTTTAATTCTCACTTCCTTTTTCATAGCTTGCTGTTGATGTTTTATGGATGCAATCGCTTCCCTTTTCTCTGATATTAATTATGTTCTTTCTTTGAAGCTCACTTTTATTCTGTGTATTGTTTTCTATTTGTTACTTCTGACTTATTTTATGCTGCTTTCTTTGATCTTTGTTTCTGTCTTTCACATGAGAGGTGTTCTTCAAGTGCTTGGTGATCTTTGGTTGCTGGTGTTCTGCTTGCTGGAGTAAGTGCTATTGATGGTACCCCTCTCGGAGTGTAGACCGCACATAGACACGGCCATCTCATGGGGAGATGCCAATTGTCAGTATCCATTTTTCTTTTCCATTAGTTCATTTATCCACAAAGTATCCTGACTATTGATACATCAGCCTGGCTATCCGTGGTGGAGGAAGGGAGTGGGTGAAATGAACCTGGGGTCTCACCTTTTAATACACAGACTTTCACTCTAGCTCCTGCCTCATCCCATACTCTGCTGCTGTGTGGCCTTAGAGCTAATGCCTCTTCTATTCAGTTTTTCTGGTGTGTAAACATTTGATATCCTGCCAGGCAGGTGGGTGGTGCCTGGGAGGGAGGACACCTTGAGCAATCATCCAAACAGCCTTTTTTCCAGATCCACTCATTTCTCCTTTCAGAGGTATCTGATGTCTCCAATTCCTGAGTTTTTCAGAGTGTTGTATCACATAATTGGGTTTGATCCTTTTAGGATTTCATCCCACAGACATTAGATTTCAGTATCCTAGGGTCTGTCTGCTAATTTCTCATTCACACTTTGCCTTCCATGGTAGAACAACATTTTCAACGAGTGTCAACTTCTCTCTTGTTCTCTTTCCCTTATGGATGTATTTACTTTTTATATTAGTGGTCCAGTGGGGTGAAGCAGAGATAAACAGATGTATTCAATTCTCCATGTTTAGCCAAAAACATTCCTTCTACTTTTGAATATCCTTCATCTCATTAGATGCTATGGGAACGGATAGAATTTAAAACTTCTGCCCCTTTGTTTTCCTTATCCACAGTCTTAAGATAACAAAAATACTGAGCTATCAATACTGGCTTTCCTTCCATCATTGTTTGTGAACTGTTTTTCCGAATTTTTCATGTTCTTCCTCTGATCACAAGGGCCCTAACAATGGGCCTGACTGTCTTGACTCACAAGGAGGAGCAGTAGAGGAAGGGACGTGGCAGCATGAAGCAAGCGCTCTATTTTTACCCTGTGTTCAATGATAATGTCCTCTTCTCTAATATAGTTTGTTTCTTTCCTAACTTCCTTTTTTTGTTTTTTTTTTTTTGGACATTCCAATTTTTGTCTCCCCCTATGAAGACTTTTCAGGGCCCCCTTTTCACATCGACATTTCCCATAGTTTTTTCTGCCCCCATTTCTCTCTTATTGACCTGCAGCTTTTGTCGCTGCACCTTCTTGACCCCACTGTTCCCGTGGCCACCCTCCAACACTCCCGCTCCATGCAGGAAGGCCTATTTTGCCCTTTAGAGGCTGTGGCTTTCCTCCTACTCTTGAGAACTTTCTTCATAGTTAAAAACAAAGTCCGACATTCTCTGGCCTCTTGAATGAGAGCACGGCTTTCCTTCCCTTAATTAGCTTCCTTATTAGACCACTAATTTATCCTCATTCTAATGGGAATTTGTTTTCCACTTAAAAGCTGCCTTTTTCCTCCAGAACCTGAGAAATTTCAAGTGTCTGAAATTCATGATCAAAAAACTGGAGCTTTTCATTTTATAGGCTGCAACCTCTGTTCTTTCTTGCTCACAACTCCTACCCATTTTTATTGGCTCATTTCCTATTTCTATAAGAATATGCTGGACTTTGGCATACTTAACCAGAAAAGCAGCCTTAATTATTTACTTGTACAGTTCAGTTGTAATTATTTAACTTCTAATAGGAAATCTAAGCTTCCCTCCTCTCCCCTCCCCCCATCTCTGTTAAAAGAAGTCTTTCCCAAACATCCTTATGTAACTTTACTTTTGGGGTGATCTCTTTTTATTTCCCAGAAATGATCCATGATTATCTATATACAACCCAGCACCATGTATCTTTCCAAAGTCTGCATTTTTTAAAATATAAAACTTCATCTCTAAGTGACTTCCTTTCACAACTAAGCAGGAAGAGCTTCAAAAGTAGCTCCTTTTATCTGAAAAGGGTATTGACTCTTCGTTCTTAGTCTAGTGTGTCTTGCCATAATTACTTCCAGAGGCCCTGAGGTTGGCCTCCAGTTAACCCACCCTCCTGCTAATCACACTCTTATGCAAGTACTTTGAGTATGGGCTGGACTTACTGATTCACCCATAATGAATAGACAGACTATAGCCATGCAGATGTTACCTCCGAGATTAGTGTACCAAAAGCCTGTGGCTTCTGTCGTGATGCCCTCTCTTGCCCACTCATTCTCCCTCCTGGCTCCAGGGAGGCCAGCAGCCACACTGTATCAACTCTGCTTGTGGAGAGTGCTTTTTGCAAAGATCTGAGGGCAGCCACTGACCAACAGTCAGCATGGTGTTGAGGCTCCCAGCACAACAGCCTTGAAGAAATAAAAGCTGCTAACAACCCGTCAGTGAGCTTGGAAGCCAGTCCTCCCGCAGTTGAGTCTGCAGGTGAGACTACAGTGCAACACCCTGACACCAGCCCTGTGAGCCGTCTGTGGCATCCATGAGCCACATTCAGATCCTTAAGCCACAGAAACCGTGAGATATGTGTTTGTTGTTTTAAGCCACTGAATTTGGTAATTATTTGTTATGCAATAATAGATAAGACCCTTAAGCCAAGTTTCTGTTTAGGTCATTGTGTCCTCTGAATGTCAATTCAGTTACATAAGGTTTTCTTTACATTCCTCTTTGGGCGCAGGAAAGAGCAGGATCAACCTTGTCCATAAGTGCATCTCCAGTGCCTGCTACTGGGCCTGACCCTGAGGTTGACATTCCAAACACATTTGCTGGATATGACCCTTCTTTTTTTTTTTTTTTAAAGATTTATTTATTTATGCATACAAGAGCTGGGGCACAGGCCAGAGGTGTGGGGTATGAGAGGATTCACCAGAGACAAGGTGGGGAACAGAACAGGCAGAATGACTGAAATACACTGCTTAGGGGAGCAGTGGGTGAGTCAGGAGAGGTCTGCTGTGCCATGGGGGTAACGCCCTGGCTGGGGATCTAACTTGTGCTGCAGTGGCTGCAGAGAGCTTCATAGGTTGCATTTTAACCCCTTGCACCACCAGGGAGGCCCTCCTTCTGTATTTTTCTATTTGTCCTAGCTTATGAGTTTCTTTATTTTCCATGTTGCCATTTCTTTGGGGATTTAAGAGGTAGAGAGCCTGCTGGTCTGGTTGCCTTGATCTTTCTCTCCATGATCTGATGTCGTTCCTCTACAAAGTCTTCAGCGCTGTCTTACTGGAAGCCCATCTGCATCCCCTCTTGCCTTCTCAGGGTTTATCCAGGACAACCACATCCAGGAACTTTCCCTTCCCACTGAGCTGCTCCTAGCATTGGGGAAGCTATGCTGCTGGTTTCCAGCAGGAGACACACATCAGCCATTGTGAAGTAGGTAGTGTGTTTATTACTATTTAAAAAATGAAAGTAAAAACAAAAATGAGGTCCATTGATATTGATGTGGTAAGCCTGAGGCCACTTTGCAATTTAGATGTAGAATCACTAGAACTCAGGTTTCATCAATGAGGAGCTATCAGCTTGTAGAGATTCAAATTCCAATCTGGGTCCTGCCACACTGTGTGACCTTATGGAAATTATTGAACTCTGATTCGGTTCCTCATCTGTAACATGGAAATAAGTTCTCCTTTTAGTGTTGTTTTAGGCATTCTTCTTGATCCAGTATTCTGTTTGATATTTTAACTTATATTTAGCTTCTTTGTAATAGTTTAATTCATAATTATAATAAGGGTATAAATTTTAATTTTGGTTGATAATTAAATATAGCAAGGACATTGCGTATTTGTTAATGCTAACACTTTCCTTTTATTCCTTTATTAAAATGGCAATAAAACTAACAAAAATATTCCTTGTTGTTAACATTCAGAATCTTCCTCCATTTATTATACTTTTATAAATGGGACCAAATATTGTAATGTGACATTACTTTGGTGATTAGAGACCAGATTACTATTCCACTGTCTTAGTCATCTCAGGTTAGAACAGAGTACCTTAAACTGAGGGATTAAAAAACACACACTGATTCCTCTTAGTCCTGCAGGCTGGGAAGTCCAAGGTCAAGGTGCTGGCAGATTCAGTGTCTGACGAGTGTCTGGTTCATAGATGGCTCTCCAATCTCTGTCCTCATGTGGTAGAAGATGGGAGGGAGCATTTTGGGGTCTCTTTTATAAGGACACTAATCTCATTCTTGGGAGCTCCATCCTTATGACCTAATTACCTCCTCAATTGCCCACCTCCAAATATCATCACATGGGAGATTAGGTTTCAATGTATGAATTGTGAGGGAAAACAAACATTCAATCTATGACATGCACTGTCTTTAAATTGCTTAGCAGTTCATCAATAAGTCTTCATTGGGGAAAAAAAAATTCAAAATAAGCCTGTCACAGTTAAAATAAAACCTTTGCTGAAATAATCCTGCATACCCAGGAAAGAAGACCAACATGTGTAAATTACCTTACAAGTTTAGGCTGACAGGATATAAAGCTCTAAGGAAAAAAATCACACTTACATTGTTCAGATTTTTTTTTTTTTTTTTTAAATGATTTGGTAGTTGGCTTATTTTTTTTTTTTTTTAAGATTTATTTATTTATACAAGCACCGGGTACAGCCAGAAGCGCGGGAGGGTGAGAGAATTCACCAGAGCCAGAGCGGGGAGCAGAGCAGGCAGAAGGACCGAAGTACACTGCTGAGGGGAGCAGCGGGCGGCAGGAGAGGTCTGCGCGCCATGTGGGACCCTCCTCCGGTGGCCAGGGAGCAGCCGGGGATCGAACCGGCGCCACAGAGGCCGCGGGCAGCTTCGCAACCCAGCGCTCAACCGCTGCGCCACCGGGGAGGCCCCAGATTTTCTTTTAACTTAAGCAGTAAGTACTTTAAAAGTTCCTTTGGCAGAGATTTATTATCAAAACAGAAAAGAATAAAAATTCCTAAAATAAAAGAATAAAGATTAAAAGAATAAAGATTAAAAAAGAATAAAGATTCCTAGTTTTAAAGACATTAAGTGGTCATTTGCAACAAAGTTATCTAGGTGCCAACAGAAACCCTAGAGATTATGTCCATCAATGTAGTTATCTTACAGAAGATGAAGCCAGCTCCAGAGAGTAAGTGGCACCTAGTTAAGGACAGAGTCAGACTGTGACCCCAGGCCCCCAGCCGCAGTCCAGGACTCTGCATGGAGCCTGCAGCCCTTCATGTCTTTGTTAGAAGAATATGCAATTAATAGCAGTGGTACCATCATCTGCTCCTACCTCTTCCTGGGACTGGTTGAACTGCTGCCTCAGTTCTGTCTGGGCCAGAATTGCTCTTTCCAGTTCCTCTGACTTTTGTTTCATTTCCTTCCGTAAGTCCTCTGAAATGGAATCATTACTGTCTATCTCCTTCTTCAAACGAGATTCAAATTCTGCCACCAAATTTTTAAGTGTTTCGATTTCTTTCTCCTTGGACTCAGATTTTTCAGAAAATCGCTTATGGGATTCATAGAGTTTTCCCTCAAGAGTGGCCACTTCCTGTCGCAGGTCTCTGGTAGCGCCTGCGATTAAGTTGGAGATCTGTAAGATAAACTTGGGATTAGCTTGTGGGCAATAGCTTTAGGTAACTGCAGAGTTCTTGTGGTTTTAAGGGGCTTATTCGAAATAAACAGTGTACTCTTCAGATCAGATAAAAGGAAATTCTATGACATATGCGAGCCTTCAAGCTTTTCTTTTTATAAGTTAAAACGACCGACTGTGTTATTTTTACCACCTTAAATAGAATTGCATCAATCACTTGGAAATATATAAATCTCCGGGACTGTACTGAGCTCCCAAAGACAACTCAAGTGTGGATCAGGTGCCTATCTGAATTGACTCTTGCATGGTGTGGGAACCTAGAAATGCCTGGTTGGGAGCACTACAACTACTACCAGAGCACTCCCCTCTCTTGCTCATACCATACCAATGAGTTTTCTTTTGACATCTTTTCTTTTTCCTTTCTCATATGTGATGACTGGAGGTAGCCCAGGTACCACTTCTGAGCAGCACTGCCCAGGAGAACTTCTGTCCTACCAAAATGGTAGCCATCAGTCACATGTGGCTATTGACAGTATGCTGGCAGATGTTTAACAACTGACTCTCTCTCACACACACAAGAGGATTTGTATCTTGTTTCCATGGGGTAAATCCTCTTGCCATGGCCAATTCCAAGCCACGCAAACAATATTGCCAATCACTGAGGGAAGAATTGTGCAAAGGGCTCTCACTCGCATTACTGGAGATTCAGCATTTGAAATGTGGCTCATGTGACTGAGAACTAATTTTTTTAATTTATTCAATTTTAATTAATGGAAATTTAAATAGCTACCATATTAGAGAGTATTAGGAAAGTCTCTAGATGGGAAAAGACTGCTTGTTTTCTTTTCTTTAAAAAACTAAACAAAGAACAGAAAAACAAACCAGGGAGAGCAGAGCTGCTTCTAATGAAACATATCCTAATTATTTATGCTACGGATATTGTCATATTATAAATATTAGTACAATAAGAAGCCAGCCCACAAAGAAACGGAAAACATTCATAGACCAAAGTTCCAAGGAGTTATGTATCCAAAATGTGTTTCAAATGTTAAATGTACATTAAGAGTAACTTTTTTTTACAAAAAATCTAGTCACCATCTCAGTAATTTTATAAATTAAAATAATATTCCATTCTCTTTGCTTGATCCAGGAAGGAAGAGGTCCTTCCTGGACTGAGCAAGTCTACACAGTCGTTTCCATCACCCAGAGGTGAGCAGGCTCTGAAACAGACCAGTTACTCTTGGGAGAGGAGACTCGCACAGCAGCAAACACATTTTGACTTTTTATAAAGAAAGTAAACATTTAAAAATCAAAAGAATTCACTTGCAAAGCCTGGATATATAATGTCTCTTGAAAGCTTGTAGGCTGGGGCTGCATGTGGGCATTCCTGTGTGGGTGGGACCCTGAGCTGCAGAGGCACTCTCGAGGGAGGGAAGGAGAGGGGGCAGGGGATCCAGTGGAGGGTGGTGGGGAGTCCATCTCAAGGAGAGCCATCTGGGAAGGAGGCACCTGGTGCATGCTCCTTGTCCCCATAGGAGTCACTTAAAAAAACGCAGACTCAGAAAAAAATTGTTAAGAATCAAGACAGCATCTGCAGAGTACGCATCTGGAGCAGGAGGCCCTTCTGAGTGTGGGGCCTGTGTTACTGCTACTGTCAGACACTCTCATTGGCCTGCCCATTGCTCACAGTGAACATAAAAAGGCTGAACCACATCCCCTGTACAAGCAGAGCCTCATCTGATTCTTAATTTATACAGACTCTTCACGGGTTTATTCAAATATGGTTTCCCACTGGTTAATACACAGTTAATAATATGGGTTCTGGGTTAATAATATGGGTTCTGGTTAATACACATGCACTGGACCTCTCTACATAAACACACATGTGTTCACACACACATCCATGCACCAAGACACACTTACACATGTATACACATGCATGTCTATATATGCTCACACACATATACACATACTACACTCAAATCTTATTTAAAAATAGAGTAGCTTTTGCAAAATCTCATTTTCAGACACACTGTCAAGAAATTATGGAGGTGTGATTACATTTGAAAATATTTCCCTTCAGGATTATGCTCAGTGAAATAAGTCAGAGGGAAAGAGAAAAATATCGGATGGTTTCACTAGTAGGAGGAACATAGGGAAAACAAACAAGGGATGGAGAAAAAAGAGATAAAAATAGCAGGCAAAGCAAACTATAAATCGGAGACATTCAGCTGGAAAAGAGAAGTGCACGAGACTATGGTGATGCTTCACAGGTGTCTCGGTGGTGGTAACTTTAAGGGGATTACACCTGAGAGAAGAATGAACTATGATGTAACAAGTATATAAATACAAATAAAAAAAGAAAATATTTCCCTTCATTCAAAAAATGTTTAGAATTGAAAATATTTGCAATTTAAAGATACGGGCTTTCGTTGTTGGGAAAATTTTAATTATGTAAAACAACTTATTATCATTTGATGTTGGATATTTGAGATACTGGAATATCTCATTATTAGTTATCAATTTATGCTGCTTTAACAATAAACTTGTTTTAGTAGAAAAAAATTTCCCTGCACAGCTACATGGTAAGTTTGTGTAAGTTATCTCAGATGTTTATTCTGAAGAAGAGGCAGCCACTGGATTCAAGCAGCTAACTTCAGCCCAGTGACATGAGGAGAGCTGCAAAGTTACAAATGCTGTAACATTCTTCAGGGGAAATTGCTTCACACCAGTTAAATAATAATGAACATGATAACAGACCTTCATTTGCAGTTCCTCTTGTTCTTTCTTATACTTTTGAATTATTTCTTGGTGTTTTTCCTTTTCAATATCAAGTTCCAGTCTAGCTTCTTCTTTAAAGAGCAGAGCTTGCGCCTCAAATTCAGCCAAATGCCGGGCTCTTTCCTTGGCAAGTTCAGCTTCAATCTAGAAAATAGCATTGAACACACACGTGAAGTCATTACCTCTTGAAATTGAAAATTGTTTACTTTAAGGCTCTAATATTAAAAATGTTCAATTCTAACACTGATTTTTCATTAATCTAATTTCAAAATGATAGTTTTTTTTTTTTTTAAATAGACTCAGAACTCAGTTCAGAAAACTGGATCTGGGTTCAAATATTTCAAGAAAACTTATAAGAGCTATAAAATGAGTAGAGAAGTTAGGACAATATATTATGACCATATGCAGATACACTAAAAGCTTAGTCTTTCACACATTTATACTTTAAACTCAGTCCTTTCCAGCAAAACAAAAATATTTAGAGGCCCTTAGATGATGTTTTCCTAGAAACATAGTAGAGATACAAGGTACAAATGCTGATTGTTTAGTGGTCTTTCTTGATGGAGAATGTAGAAAGCCGTGGAGTCACAGATTATCACTCTAAGGTGACTCAGAATGGAAGGAGGACAATAGGGGAAAAAATCAGTGATCCATACTTTGACTCAGATAGAATCACAGTGCTGGAAAAGACCTCAGAAACCCCCTAGTTCTATTTCTGAAGCTTCCGTGAATTGTGGAAAGAATAAACAAGAACTTGGATTCAGATGGATTTGAGTCTGAATCTGGCTCTGCCACTTTCTAGCTCTTTGACCTTAGGTTATGTCTATAACTTCTACTGGTGGTTATAACTAATTCCTTTGGGGGTTGCTATGAGGATTAAACGGGACAAATCATCAGGGTAAAGCATGGGCAGGAATTCAACAGTTGGTGGAGATGAGATCTACGATTCAGTCTCTCCACAAAGTCTGCTCTCCACAGAGCAGTTTCTGCTCTGTGCCTCAACACCTCCAGAAACCATAACTCCCTCCTTCCCCAGCAAAGTTCTCCATTTCAGGCAGTGCTAAGCATTAGGCAGGTTTTCCTTTAGTTGAGCCAATGTTTCTTTCCCTGTGGTTTTTAACCACTAGCTTTGGCTCTGCCTACTGGAAGGAGAGAGAGAATAAATCGGAATATAGGAATCCCTCAGACCTGGGAGTTGATCTAATGGGATCAGAAAAGGGATCCTGGGACAGGTGGGTCAGACTGACAGTGTACCGTGATTATAAATTCTAAGAGGGAGTAAGTGCTAGACAGCTTAGGAGAAAAACTGTCAAACCTGGCTTACTGTGACTTAATGATTCAGTCACTAAGACAGAAGGAGAGAAGTCACTTGAATACCTCAAGGGAATACAGAAACTGGGGTATCAGGAAACAGGAAGTTTGCAGGAAGTCCTTTCAATGAAACAAAATGCAGATAGAAGGCTAGATTCAGTGTGGGTCAGTGGAATTTATCGCACTGGGCACAGGACTAAACATTTGCCCCAAGGAAAAACAATTCTCTTTATGCACAATGCAAGAAGTTATTTTCACTCTCAAAATAATTTCTGTTGATCATTAAGGAACATGTTTAAATGTGTTGCTCTAAGATTGCTAAAGATGAGGAAATCTCAAGACAGGAATACTTAGAAGAAAGATTTGGGTGTTTGTATCCATCTGTCTCTTGGGGCCAGTTAGATACTTCAGAGATACCTTAAATAAACTGAAACAGACATCTGATGCAACACCAGTTGTCCCTTCCCTTGGTCCCACCTCATGATACAGCGCCACCATCTGATTTGGTGCTCAAAAAAAAAGTTAGGGACATCACCTTTCACACCTCTCTCTCCCTAACCTTCCACCTGAATCCAGCACCAAGTTCTGTTCGACTTCAAATATGCCTTGAACCCATTCATTTCTCTATATATTTCCACTTCCACCATCCTAATCTTGGCCACTGTCACCTCCTGATCAGCTTCCTAACTTACACTCCTACCTCTCTCTCCAGTCCATCTACACAGAGCAAAGTGTTATTTACAGAATGCAAATTGGATTATTCTACTTCCTCTTAATGGGTTTCTCAGTGTATTTGCTACAAATTCAAAACTCCCCAACATGACCTCCCACTGGGCCGCCATCGGGACCTTCCACTGGGCCACCATCAGCCCCTTCGTATGAATGGACAATAAACCCTTTCGTTACATGAACAGCCTCACAACAGGCACAGGACTCCATGAGTAAAGGCCAATTCCAGGCCCCTTCATCCCCCGGGTCTGTGTGGCTATGAGGACACAGCCACAACACTGGCTATGACTATGCTGGACTGCAACCTGACTTTGCCCATGTTCCCCATTTGGCCTCTGTGCCCTGGCCATACTGGAATAGGTAAATCAAGTCATATTAAAGGAGAAAATCAAATGCAGAACTTTTGGAAAAGTTTCAAAGCATAACTTTTAAAAAGGACTAATAGCCTGCAAGATATTTTGATACTGTTTTTTTTTTTAAATAAAACTATACAAACATTTTTGAGAAACTCAAGAAACATGTATGTTGAGGCACTAAAACATCAAGTGCTCAGAAAGTCCCTTGTGTACTTAATTGGTAGGGGCAAAGAGTTATCAGAACAGAAAAGACATCTTTCAAAATATGGACTGATTGCTCAGAGTAAGAGAACAAATATGTACACAAAATAGGTGGGACAGGACAAACTGTAAATGAACAAAAAGTTCTTTAAGTTTATTATGGGGAAGAGGCCACTTAGGAAATCAGTAAAATCCTTTGATGAAGACAAAACAAAGGAAGCACTAGGGAAAGAAAAGGGGCAGATGAATGGGTAGAATGTTCTGTCCTAACCTGAGTCAGGAAGCAAAGAGATCATCTTGCCTCTGAGTTGTTCCTTGGAAGAAAGTAGTGTAGACAGCGAAATAGGAAGGAACAGATAGAAGATGAAAAAGGAAAAGCATGTAGGTAGATGGGAGAAAGAGAATGACTATTCCTGATTTGATTTTTAATTTGCACAACCTGAGAAAGAGAAGCAATGTGATAAGCTTGAGGTAGAATTTCTAAATATTTAGAGCAGCTGCAGTGGGAGGCCAAGTGTCACTGGAACTGCTGACACCATAGCAGGGAGGGAAGCCACTACTGGGTCCTTTATGATCTGATTGGTTTGAACAAAATGATGAGCCCACAAACACAATGATTTGCTTAAGCCAGTATAGTGTCTGTCGCTGAGAGGAGTTTGTGTCAAATTGTGGTGTTTGTTTTTAACATGTTGACAGAAATCATTTATTTAAAGTATCTTAGAGAGCAGAGCATTTCATGCAACATCAATGAATTTGGTGATGGTGCATATATGAAGTGTGAACCACTTCATACAAAAACTAATCATAATTTTGATAATCAAGGGGAAATCCAACTTTTAAAAAACAGACATGAATAGAATATGAGCTCAAGAGTTACACAAAGTAAAGTCAATGATTACCTGTGTACATATTCCAGATTTTAATTATTTTTACTTTTTACTTACTTGCAACCTCTTCTAGGTCAAAACCTCTCTCCCCTTTGAGAATGTCTCCTGATGATTACACAGCACCTGGGTATGTGATGCTTAATTCCTTTTCCATTTATTGTTAAAATGCATAATTAATATAACATCAGTGTCTAATATTATGTACAAAATACTTTCCAATGTGGTTTCCAATCTATGTGGTTGATTTTGTTATTATCCAATGTGGTTTCCAATCTATGTGGTTGATTTTGTATTATCATATGCCAACCACCCTGGAAGCCAAACACCATATCATAATCACCGATTACTTGATATTCCCTTTAAACCTGATGAGAATTTTAGATGTCAAAGTAGAAATCAGAACCTTTGTTTACATTTGTTATACATATATCATTTTTGAAAATGTGTGTCCTAAAAATATATTATTATACTAATGTCCAAAAGTATTAGTGGCTAAAAACTAATACTTCAGGGCCTCCCCTGGTGGCGCAGCAGTTGAGGGCTGGATTGCGAAGCTGCCCGCAGCCTCTGCAGCGCTGGTTCGATCCCTGCCTGCCGGCGAGGGTCCCACATGGCACGTAGACCTCTCCTGCCGCCCGCTGCTCCCCTCAGCAGTGTACTTCTGTCCTTCTACCTGTTCTGCTCCCCGCTCTGGCTCTGGTGAATTCTCTAACCTTCCCGCACTTCTGACTGTACCCAGTGCTTATATAAAGAAATATATCTTTAAAACAAACAAAACAAAACAAAAACTAATACTTCAAATTATTTCTGATTTAGTCACTGATATTTATTATAAAAGGTGTTGATAATTCACATAGAATTTGCATTAAAAAATGAATGTTAGAGTGAGAATATGTGGGTTACAGAGAAATCCTGCCAAGAACTGTGTAAACTGAGGCAGAAGAAGAGAATGTTCCCTGAGTACCTAACTGAAGCTCAAGGAATAAGGCACAGGACACTTTTCATATATTAAATCAGTTAATTCTTACAGCTACTCTGGGAGGAACAGATAATTCTCTATTAATCATTTATTAATCCCACTATCTAAAAACAGGCACAGAGAAGTTAAGCATCTTCACCAAGATTGTAGAGCCACTTCATACTATTAAAGGTGTGTATAAACAGTTGTTTCTGGGGACTAGGCAGCTCAGCTGCTTAGTTTTTCCATGCAGCTAGTCTCCTCACACATCTATGTACATAGTTGAGGGCATGGACTTCAGTTTCTAAATATTGGGGAATTTTTCTAGATAACTTTCTTTGAATGGATTCTAACTTAAGTCCATTGTGGTCAGGGAAAATCTTTGCATGACTTGAATTCTTTTAAATATATTGAGACTTAAATGCCCAGACTATGGTCTATATCAGTAAGTGTGCTGTGTGTGCTTGAGAAGAATGTGTATTCGACTGTTAAATGGAGAATTCTATAAATATCATTAGTTTATGATTGTTAAAGCTGTTGTTTAATATATCACCTAAAAGGAAATTGTTGTGTTATTTTCCATAGTATATATCCTTACTGATTCTCTGGATAGTTTTTTTATCAATTATTGAGAGAGTGTTATTGACATTGTTGACTCCAATTGTGAATTTATCTACTTCTCCTGATAGTTCTATCAGTTTTTACTTAGTGTATTTTTAAGCTTTGTTAATAGGTGGATAAACATTTAAGATTTTATAAACTGATCCCTTTATTATTATGAAATTACCTTCTTTATCCTTGGTAGTATTCTAAATATTCTGATTTCTTTGCTTTAATATCTACTTTTTCTGATAGTAATGTTGCTACTCTGGCTATCTTTTGATTTGTGTTATAGCAAATCTTTTTCCATCATTTACTTTTAGGTTATTTTTATCTTTAAAGTGCATCATAGGCAGCATATGGCAGAGATTTGCATTTTAATCCAATATGACAATCTCTGCTTTTTCATGGGGTTATTTAGACCAGGGCTTGATGAATTGGTACAGAGACTAAATTCAGCCATACCCACTCATTTGCACTTGTCCATGGCTACTTTTAAGTTAAAGTGGGAGAGTTGAGTTGTTGTGCTAGAGAATATACATCCCTCAAAAACCAAAACTATCTACTAATGGTCCTTTACAAAAAAAGATTGCTGGTCCCTGGTTTAAAACATTGACATTTAATGTAATTACCAATATGCTGTGCTTTAAATTTATCTTGCTATGTGTTCTCTACTTGGCCCATGTCATCTTTTTCCTCTTTTGGATTGGGTTGTTTTACTTGGGTTGAGTCTTTTTTAATTCAATTTTATTTCCTTTGCTAACTTATTAGCTGTAGCTCTTTGTTTTCTTATCTTTGTGGTTCCTGTAGGGCTTACAGAATAGATCTTAATCCAGTCGACTTTCAAATGACATTACTTCATATATTCTATAAGAATCTCATAACATTATATTCCTATTTCTCCCTTCCTAGATACAGTGTTATTGTTGCCATATATTTTGCTTCTACATAATATAATGTATTAGAATGTTAATATTTTTGTTTAAAATAAAATTATATTTAGGGGCCTCCCCTGGTGGCTCAGTGGTTGAGCACTGGGTTGCTAAGCTGCCCACAGCTTCTGCAGCGCCGGTTTGATCCCTGGCCACCTGTGAGGGTCCCACATGGCGTGCAGACCTCTCCTGCCACCCGCTGCTCCCCTCAGCAGTGTATTTCGTCAATCTGCCTGTTCTGCTCCCCACTCTGGCTCTGGTGAATTCTCTCACCCTCCTGCACTTCTGACTGTACCCAGTGCTTGTATAAATAAATAAAAATAAAATCTTTAAAAAAAATTATATTTAAAAGAAATTTGAACATAAAACTTCATATATTTATCCATTGTACCTTTGTGTAGATATGTATTTTTATGTCATGTAACTTTTCTTGTGACTAAAGAACTTCTTTCAACATTTCTTTGCTTTAATATCTGATTTTTTTGTGGGGCTCTGCTGGTGACACATTGTTTTCAAAAGGTTTTCAATTTTTGAAAACAGTTTTTACTTCACTCTTTTATTTGATATTTTCACTTTGTATAGAATTCTAGATCAGAAGCTTCCAGCCCTCCTCTGCCTCCCTACATTTTTTAGCACTTTCAGTCCTAATGTTTTCTGGCTTGCCATTTCTGATGAAAAATTGGCTATCATCCTGACCCTTGTTCTTCAATATATGTTTTTTATTCTCTGGTTGCTTTTAACATTTTCCTTTTATTACTGTTTTTGAGCAATTGAATTATAATGCCTGATGTGAGATTTTTTGAGCCTCTTGAATCTGTGAGTCTATAGTTTTCATTAAATTTAAATTTTTTTTTCAGCCATTATGTCGTCGAGTATTTTTTCTGTTCCTCTTTCTTTTGCTTCACCTTCAGGAGTTCCAATTATACATGCATTAGGCCACTTGAGTTTGTGTCATGGCTCACTGACAGGTTATTTTTTATTTTTGAGTCTCTTCTCCATTTTGTTTTATTTGGATGGTTTCTATTGCCGTGTCTTATCATATTTTTCATATATAGTGAAGTTCACTATCTTTTCTTCTGGAATGTCTATTCTGTAATTAATACCATCCATGATATTTTTTATCTCATACATTCTAGTTTTCATCCCTAGAATTTCTTCCAAATCTCTTCTTATCTGGGTCAATTATTTTTCATCTAATTTTTGGACATATGGAGTACAGCTATCATAACAGTTTTAATGTCATTGTCTGCTAATTCTAATATCTATGCCTTTCTGTGTCAGTTTTTAATTCATTGATTTTTCTTCTTATTATGAATTCTATTTTCCTTTCCTCCCAAGCATAGTAATTATCCCTTCCTTCTCTTCCTTCTTCTTTATTGAGAGATAACTGATATATATAAGTTTATATTAGTTTCAGGTGTACAATGACATATATATATTGTAAACTGATTATCACAAGTCCAATTAATATCTGTCATCATACATAATTACAAAATATTTTTTCTTGTGATACAAACAATCTGCTCTCTTACCAACTTTCAAATGCCATGCATGAGGTTTTTGACTGGCTACCAGACATTATGAGTTTTACCATGCGTTAGATGCTGGATACTTTTGTATTCTTATGAAAAATATGCTTTTCCCCCCAGAATGTTCTGTTCACTTATAAACCACATCTAAGGTCAAACTTGTAAAAACAAAATTATTGTAAATCCTGAAGTCAGGGTCCTTTGGGGTTAAACATATTATTCCCTTACCCTCCCCTTAGCCCAAGTTCCACTCTGTTCCCTGGGAATAGAGCCAGGCAGAGGGCACAGAAAGAACCAAGAGCCAAATGTTCCTTCTTCACTAGAACTCAGGATTGGAGGCTCTTCTATGAATATTCTTGACCTCTTTTTTGGGGTGTGGTTATGCTTATTAGAATTACTTTGATTTTTTTTTTTTTTTAGGTCCTCCTTTTAAAATTTGTTAGGCAGGACTAGGTCGGTATTTAGACTAGAGTAAATTATTCCTTATTACTAATGTAAGACCTTACTGAGACCACTTAGGGCCCTCAAATTACGGTTTTTTAGTATGGCTGATAGGAACAAGTACCATTACTGACCTTGTGTAGGTAATGATAATCTTCTTTCTAATCCTTTCATATGAATTTGTCCTGACTTTGGGTAGTTTTCTCATATGTGAACCTATCACAATTCATGGGAACTTTATAGCTCTCCAGCATGCTTGGTGAATCTCTCTCTTGTGAATTCTAGCCACTGATCTCCCAGGATTTTCAGACCAAGATCTGCTTAACTCAGAGAAACTGCCCAACTTCACTTTATCCTGGACTCTGTGCCATGGCCTCAAATTTCTTTTAAAGCAGTTAGTTAGCATATCATAAAGGCTCTCTTTGTTATCTCCAAGAACCACTGTCCTTCATTGTCTGAATGTTAAATCCACTGTTTTCTGTCATTTAGTCAATATTTTAGTTGCTCGGGAAGATAAATTTGGTCCCTGTTAGTCCATCCAGGTCAAATGTGGAAGTTTTGGGGTATTTCCTTTTCCTTTTTTTTTAAGTTTCATATGAGTTCTCACTTTCGAGCTACACAAAACTGGCAAATGGACTACTTTAGCTTATTCTATCTGCAAATGGACTAGTAATATTATGATGATTAAAATTACACTTATGGAAAGCATTCAGCACAAGGCCTGGTACATAGTAAATATTAATAATATAGATAAAAAGAATCTCCACTAAGAGTTTAAATTTGAAATAAAAAATTTTATGATTAATTCATATTTCAGAAATTATATGGCATAATTTTAAAAGGGATGCCTTCAATATTCTTTTTGGTCATACATTTAGTATACATAAATGAAAACTGATAATTTTGTAAATAACTACTTCATCCCTCTCAAGTTTTGTATTTTACAAGTTAATTTTACTTAAGGTACACTAAAATACTTTAGGAACTATTAAGCCATTGACCTTCCATTATGAAGAAGAATTTGAGGGTTTTTTCTGGCCTCTCTTCAATATGGAATTGACTATTTCTTGAAGTAAACTTTCCCCCTTGTATATGCATTATAAATTATAAACTTTCCCCCTTGTATATGCATTATAAATCCAGTTACTCATTCAGAAAGTAAGGTTTCATTTGTTTGTTCTAACTTCTGGTTTTTAAAAGCTGTACATATTATTTTAAATCAGGCTGATATTGCAATTCTAAAATGTTCCTAAATATGATAGCTTGGTAATAATCTATGAATATTATTTTTTTGGTTGGACTTTAAGACACAAAAACTGATAGTCAATAGATGACTATCACTATTGTAAGCAGTCTCACTATAGGAGATTTTTTTTTAATTTACAAAACTTTTACTGGGTAGTAATAACATTGGGCATTTGGAACAAATTTTAATACACACTAATTTCCTTTTTTCAGATCAAAGCAATACTTGGAATAAACAAAAATCCATGACAATTAGTAAATACAGAGTTATTTTAAAATGTGCTGTTTTTGTCGCATAGCAACTGTTAATTCTATTATGTGTTTTTTATATACTCTAAAATAATTAAGCCCAGGCACAAATTGCTATCTACTTTTTTGAATGTTAAAAGCATTAAGTTATGAACTTTATTCTAATATGTGTATTATATATTTGTAAAGGGAACATTTCATTCCTACACAAAGGCACAGTGACCCAAGAAAAGAGATGACAATGTCATATTAGCGATTTTCCTTTCTCATGAGAGGACATTTAGGGAACTTTTTATTCATAGTCTCAATAGTGAACAAAGCCAAGACATAATTATCATTCCTTTAGCTTTATTGGCCTGGATCTTGATTTACTGCTAAGCAAAAGGATAGCATTTAGTTAATTAGGTAGTTAGTTAGTTATTTTTTGTAGGACCCTCGCTGGTGGCCAGGGATCGAACTGGCACTGCAGAGGCTGCAGGCAGCCTCGCAACCCAGCGCTCAACCACCGTGCCACCAGGGGAGGCCCAGGATAGCATTTATTAACTACAAGTCATATCCTCTCAACAAAATGAAATGTCTGTTTATATGACAGAAAGTTATAAATGCCAAAATACATTTATGAGATAATTTATTAGAAAGTTATTAGGGTCTTAGTAAGAACTTAGAGAATCTTACATAGGTCTATCTTCATCATCAAATTAACTCACCAACACACAGCAAGAACGCAATGCTCTTACATGGTCAGAGCTAACACTGACTTGGTCTCCTCCCGGTGTGAGTGCCAGGGGACAGACAGCACAGTGAGTAGCAGTGGGGAGCACAGTGGATCATGAATACCGGGGCTCTTCTCCAGTGGACTGTACCTGAAACCCCTTAGTGGGGTGCGAACCTGGAGATGAGGAACTTTTACATGAAAGGCAGGGAAGGTCTATCAGTCTGAAAGGAGCTCAGGAGCTTGAGGGGAGGGAATGATCAATGAATCCCTATCTACATTAATTCCATCAGTGAAATTTGAGTCAAAAGATGGGAAGTTTATCATATTTCTTCAAATAGTACCATCAAATTGATCTCCTAAAGGTTACTATAATTTTCAGTGTCATAAAGAGTAAGTATAAAAGACTATTTCACTAGAACTTCACCACAGTACAAAAACTATTCTGTTCATTGAATGGGTTGGGAAAAAAACTGTTTTAATTCACTTTCTTTTTTGGAACAGTAGTTGAACTGCTCATCTTTTAGAACTTTTAAATATGAATTGATAAGGATGGGGGAAGTGAAAGAGAATTGACAAGTCAATTTAGCAGAATGAGGCTAAAAATATTAGAAAGACTTTTTAAAATGTGGGCTTTAATGAAGGGGGAAGAAAAGCCTGTGAGAAACAACAACAACAAAGTCACCTAAAAAAATTTTATGGAACTGTTGCTGTTATGAGATTGTTGGGATGATGATCATTTTTGTTATAACCTGAAGATGATGTCTCCGAGAGACAGGGAAAGAGGTTGATTTAGAGAACAAGTGTTGGCTGAGTATGGCTAGCTGGTCGAAGACTAGAAGTGAAAGTGACAAATTCAGATTTGACCTGAGTCAGCACCAGCAGAGGAAGAGGACCTGGGAAGGCCATTGCAGGACAGGGCCCAGGGTTCAATCAAGGAGCAGTGGAGTCTCTGGCAGGGAGATGGCTGTTTCCTCAATGAGTAGAGCTGCTAATGGCCTGAGATGGGGGGGGCTAACAATTTTAAAATATTTTTATTCTTTATAATTAGAAAGTAATACATATTCATTGCTGAAACTTTGAAAAATATTAAAAAGTCCAAGTCAAAAATTAATGTATTTTTTTTTACTATTCTATACAAACAATTCTTTGTAAATGAAAGTGGGCTAAATACATATTCTTAATAAAAGCTTCTTAATACCCTATACCTTGAAGGCAGAAGAGTGTTGACTTTTTTAAAGAGGGGAAATTTTACTTTTTCTGTAAATCTTTTGTTCTAAGTACAATAAATGGGCATTGTCTGCCTTAAAAATACATAGCCTTTTACTTTGTGAGGGAAATTCTCTAAAGTTCATAGCTAAATAATTTTGTTATTTTCCGTTCCCTTATATTATCTTCTTGGAAACAGAAACATTGTAAGAATAAATATTTCATGCTTTTAAGACTATGGCAAAATGAAGTTTCTATTATTTAATGGGAAAAAGGATAAATATTTAAAAGTAAAATTTATGCTTGTGTGAAAACTGAGGGCTATCCTAATTTTACAAGACATTAAAATTCTTTTTATACTATTTTTCCCATTGTCTAATATTTTAGAAAAGACACACATAATAAGTATGTTTGGTACAGGAAATTCCTGAAGGAATCAAAAGTATGCAGAAAAGTAAAGAAATCTACCTGGGATAGTCTTCTGGCTAATAGACAGAATCATTAAAAAGCAAGTCATACACAGGCTGAAAAAAGCCACATTTTCATTACCTTCTCCCTCCAGTTATCATCGCTCAGCAGCTTCTGTCTAAGGGTTTCCTGCAGCTGCTCAATGCTTTTCTGATGTGAAATTAGCATCAATTCCCTGAAAACCATAAGCCCAACAAATGAGTCAAGACTCACCCTAACACTGTTCCTATATTTCAGTTCCTGGCGGTAGAGAATATTATTTCACAACTTATTCCCTTTAGCAATATAACCACTGCTGTTAGATACCATTTTAACTGTTGAAAGCAATTTACAAATATTGTATAGAAAGTATTTTCTCACATCTAATATTTGCTCAATAGGTAATGTTATTATTTTTGCTTGAAATGATAACATGTGGAGTCCAAGATATAATAAAATGTTACATATTATAGTTCAAATGTAGGCCTCTCTGGTGGAGCAAGGTATTATGCACTGCACTATGAAGCAATCCGCAGCCTTTGCAAACAAGTTCGATCCCGGGCCGGCCAGGGAGTAACCCACATGGCGAGGCAGACCTCTCCTGTCTTGCCTGCTGCTCCCCTCCCTGTTTCAGTCAATCTGCGTGTTCTGTTCCCTACACTGTCTCTTATGGATCCTCTCACCCCCCGCATCTCTGGCCTGTACCCCAGTTCTTGCATGCATAAATAAATAATAAAATCTTTAAAAAAAATGTTACATATTATAGTTCAAATGTATGACTAAAATCTAACACTGGACAATATTTTGTTTCTTAAAAAGAGGGAACTACATTGGGCTATTCCATAAAATCAATACGTTAGTATAGCTGTTTCTGTTAGATTTGTCTAAAATATGGATAGAAACAAACAAAATAAAGTAGCAGGTAATGCCAGGCATGTGATATAGTGATAAAACATATTCGAAAGTGAAAAGAAAACACAAAGAACATTTTAATCCGCATAAATGGTTCCTACACTTAGTTTGTGATTCTTTGGATGGAATAGAAGGGATTTCAGGTGTTCACTGAATAGCACTAGTAGTGATAACACATTCTTGTCCACCAGGATTTCTTCCCTTTTCTACAATCACCAGGATACTTCTTATTTTCTATGTAGGCGATTTTTCCCCTTTGCTTATTCTTCTTTCTAGTCTTTGTTTTCCATTCTAACTTTCTTCCTTTTAGCTCTGACCCCTTTTTTCAAACTTGAGACTTCCATTTATTACTGCTGTTGGAAATCGCCACTCTAAAGATCTACCCATACCAAAGATCCCACAAAACCAAAAAAAAATTTCCACCATTATCTCCTGAAATCACATTCAGTCGTCTCTGGCTCCTCCTTCTTGTGATAACACACCCACTCAATAACACATTTTTTCCAATGTGCCTCAAACTACTTTCTCCCTTCTTTCATAGATACCACTGGTCTCATTAGGCTCTTGAGTTTATTTCCCATCCACAGTATTATAATAAACTCTTAATCTATCTCTTGAGCTAATTCTAGTGTTACTCCCAAAGCATTATTAAAATTTTTTTTACTATAAAAAATAGCACCTACATTTTTAGGCTAGAAATTTTTAAGAACACAAACATGGGGAAACACATTTGACTTGGTAACCAGGATTGCAAACATCATTTGAAGAACATTGATAGAAAGAGAGAAAAATTCAGACTCTCTTCTCTAGCAGTGTTGGATTAGGTAATTTAACAACTTTCCTACTGAAATAAGTAAAATTAAAATTCAGTAAATCTGACAAAAAATGAGGAAGATGCAGAGAACAAAACTCAAGTGAAGGAACAGAAAAAGAAATATTGCCAAATACAAAAATAAAGAACAGAAAATGGATATCAATGGAATGTTAGTGAAATCTGAGTAAAGTTTGTAGGCTAGTTCATTGAATTAAACCAACATTAATTTCTTAGTTCTTACAGATGTCCCATGGTTATGAAGATGGACCAAATGGAAACTTAAACTCTGCACTGTCCTTACAGCTGTCCTGTGAATCTAAAATTGTTCCAAAGTAAAAATTAAAAATAAAAAGATGAAGAGAAAGGAAGCGCCCGACAAGAAATAGAGCACTGAAGCCCACTCTCCCCTGGAAGGTTCCTCCTGCACTTGATGCACATGAGTTTTACATGTCACAGCCACAAAGGGCACAGGAGTCAGGAGAGAAGGGGAGAGTCTAAGAGGAAATTCATAAAGCTGCACCCTAGAGTGCTGGGTGTGTGTGTATATGAAAGTCATTCAGTCTGTTTAAAATACAAATAGCATGTTTTGTCAAGGAACAAAATGGAAACTACCTATTTTGAATTTTGGTGCCAGGTAAAGGTGAAAACATGAACCTCCCTGCCCTACTGTAAGTTTGAATCCTGCATTCATACCAGCTGAGTGTCTAAAACTTCTTGTGCAGAAGACATCTTAAGGTGGCAATAGGTTAAATTTACTCCCAGATGCCTAAATTTACTCCCAGACTCTAAGTATCCCTGCAAGTAAAGATTCAAGACCTATGAGGTAACAATTTAAAAATCATAGAGCCATAATTTGTAAAAATCCCCTAAAAGGAGGAATGAACAAATGACAGCATAATCAAACTCACAAATTCTAAAGATACTGACTTTTCAGATACAAATATAAAATAAGGATGTTTCATATGTTCAAGTAAATAAAAGCTTGACTTCAATAACTAATGAAATTTTAAAAAGAGGCAAATCAAACTTGAAAGAAATGGAAAATATAATAGTTGAAATGAAAAACTCAGTGGATGATCCTTATTTTAGTCCTTGACCACTCATTTGGACTTCCGACTTCCAGAAAGGTAAGGCAAGAAATTTGTGTGTTTTAAACTATGAAGCCTGTGGCAATTTATTTAGCAGCAATAGGAAATTAGTACAATGGCCTACTTTCAAGTAATATTACATGGTTCAGGTATAAGATTAGAATCTTATAATAGTAAGCTTAATCAAATAAAGAGGAGCAGTCAATGGGGGAAAAGTGACACTTCACCTGATTTTCAAAAATGCCAGTCACAGAATGGACATGCAAATAAGTATTTGCTAGAAATGACCAGAAATCAGAGCCCTGGCAATTTGATGCACTTTATTTATGAATCCAGGAGTCTTATTTGAAAAGAGGTCTTACTGATTAGAAAATTCCAATGAGCATTTCCAGATGGGTGCCTGTGAGTATATTAGAAGTTGCCTTTCCTCTAAGATGGATGGCTCTGAATATATGCAATGCCTTTATGTCAGCTTCCCTGAAGGAAGTTATGGTTTTGATACCACCAAAAGCAGAATCTATTTCATATATATATCCCTCTGGTAGACCCAGTACAAAACACCACTGTTACCTGTATTCTATTAGAACAAAAACTGTGAAAGTCCAATAGATTATAGAAACTAAAATACAATAGTCGAGGTTCAAACAGTGTTAATGTAGTGATAACTCATCCCTGAATTTTCAAAGAATTATGAAGCTCCTCATGACCTTCCCACAAAGCCTAAGGAGTTTTCAGTGAACCGTTATAAAAATTGTGAACTTGTGTCTGTGATGGTAATTTTGCTCGGTATTATGGCGAGAGAGATGAGAAGGACTTTCATATCTCTGACTCCTGCTGAGCCTCTGTTCTTGACTTAAGAACTCGTCAGTGTGAGTCTTCAATGGGACAAGGCAGACAGAATAATTATACACAATGTTACCGACACCTACTGTCTTTAACTAGCAGGGAACGGGCACTGAGCAATGTGCACAGAGATGATTATAAGTGTGAAAAGATTGTCCTGATTCCAAAAAGTAAAAACCGTGCTTAATATAGTGCACCATGGAAAGGCTTCGCATTGCCTAGTAAAACAAAACCAGCCTAGGACATTTATAAAGAAAAAGCAATCTTGTAGGAAAGAAATCAGAAAGGAACTCTAGTGAGTCTTTTTGTTAGAAACCTAGAGGAATAAAAATAAATAACACATTCATTGTTAGAAACATAGCCCACATTTTTCCATGTTATGAAAAGCAGCAAATATGTAGTCTGTCTTGAATATCATACAAATAAACCAATGTCTCCTTTAAAATCAGTTCTAGAGACAGTGATGTTTCAGATTTGTAGGAAACAACACAGATTTAGGTCCCAAATTTAAATTTCACTAAGAACCCAATGAAGATTATTATTAGAATCCAGTTTTAATTGAACTCCTAGCTCTGCTTTTCGGCAAGTGGAGAAGCTTTCTGGGTCTGGAAATTTAAATCCTGGGTTAGGTGGTTTGATGGAGATTAAGCTCATTCCCATGCAATTTCCCATGCATCCATCCACTCAATACATATTTACTGAGTGCCTACTATGTGTCAGGCATGGTTTTAGTCTCTGGGGAAACAGTGGTTCTTTCTTGCTGTTCTTTGGAAATATGTAAATGCAATCCCCTCATTTTTTGAAGAAACAAAGATCCTGAGTGTTTAAAGACTGAGGTGACATGATTCACACAGGCAGCGCTGGCTCCCTGCAGTGTGCTGCGCTGCTGCCCTTTTCACAGAGGAGAGGGAGGTGTGGCTATCTGTAGGTCTACCCTGCAATTGCACCAGATGTTTTTTTTTTTTTTTAATAAAAATAACATTTGAGGAGTTGGCACAATAGGCAAATTAGGATCTAGAAGGAGTTATGAGTATTTATTTAAAAAACTTGAACTTTTAAATTCTTAGACCAAAAAGAAAATGAGAATCGACTTTCTTATACATGTGCAAAACTCTAGATTCCCTTAATTGTACTTAAAAACATCACTGCAAACAAATGTCAAACCGTAACGCCAAACGACAGCTTAAATTCTATTTCACAAGTTGTGCTTTTAGAGTGTCTTCACACTGTCAATCAAAGAGATCATTTTGATTTTGCTACAATGCCTGCCTTTGTTAAAAGCTCTAAGTCTGTGACATAAGACTTTCCCCTCTGTTCTGAGAGCTTTTGATGGGTAGGAAATCAGAGAGGAGGTAAGGTTTGGGGAAGAACCTGATGAGGTTTATTATTTGAATATGTTATTGTTTAGAACACTTCATTTTATAATGCTTTAAACTAGTAGGCAAGCATCCAAGTGGAATCACTCCACAGCCTCATCTTTCCAACTCCGAGAGCAAAGCAGACAGTACTGAAAGCAATTGGCATTTATTGACTATCTACATCACCAGTTCAGGGTATACAAATTAATAAGCTATGATGCTTAAAGTTAGCAACCTAAAAAAAAAAGAAAGAAAGAAAGAAAGAAAGAAAACTAATACTTTCTGGTCATCTAAAACCTACTGGGCATATAGATGCTTTCATCTTCACAAGAAGAGAACTATAGCTTCTAATCACATGCCCATTCTACAGATGACAAAATGAGCTTAAAGTCACTATATAAAGTGTTCAAACTTGACACACTGGTCAAATTAAAATTTAAACCTGTGTTTGCCTAATGCCAAGGCCTATTCATTTTATACCAAGTCACATTAGCATGATGTAACAGAACTCATGGCATTTTGCTTCTGAATCCCCTTTCACATTCCACACTTCTTACTGCTCTGGCCCTCATGACAACAGGACGCACTTCACTAGAGTAACCCACTCTGAGCTGCTCTTCAAGCCCTGAGCTGCTCTTCAAGTGGTGTGAAATGGTCTCATTTTCAAGATACCACTCCTTCTGATTTTGCCCAGGCATAGAACATGGAAGACAAACCTCCCCTCCCTACCTCAGCCCCCCAATACATTGAGTGAAGGGAAGGATTCTGAAAGAGTGCAGGCGGGGGAAGGGGCCAAAAGGGACACTGGGCTTCTTCTGCTTCCTGCAGGGCTGGGAGTCCCCTGACAACTCAGTGTTACAAGATGGTTGAGAAAGAGGAGTCACATGGAGAGAAGCTGACAAACCTCAGCCCTTCAAGATGAATAGTGAAGGAATTGTGCAAACTGTAGCAAAGGAAACATGTGTTTTAAAAGTTAGACGGGGGCAGCTTGATTTGTCTCTGCCAATTATGTGACCCTGAGCCAGAAGATTAGCCTTGCTTAACCTCTTCCTTCATGGGTAAACATGGGACTGACCCCTGCTTCTCAGGTGAGGCCACAGCTCTGCCAGCCAGTGCCTTTGTGCAGACTGGGACATGGCTGCCCTCTGCGCTAGTAAGTCAGAAAAAGTGCTCCTCTGGGCTGAGCTGACCCAGGGACACAAGCACAGCAGAGGCTGGGGCTGGGGGCTGGAATGGCATGTTGGTGCAGGAAAGGTGAGCCTCTCCCCCGTGGCAGGGGGCACGTAGCCAGAGTCTTGGCTGGTGTTTAGGCCCCTTCCCTCCACTGAGCACCCACAATGGGGCATTTCCCTCAGGGCACAGTGAGGACAAAAGGAGAGCACGTCCACGGAAGCACTTCAGGTGGTCCCAACCACTAAAACCTGAGGATGGAGTGTGAGTGAGCTTGGAAGGGGGAGGGGGACAGGCATAAGGAAGCAGCCTCTTTAATCATGGGGTCATGTCACACACAGGGAAACAGGAAGCGCCACGAGCCTCCTGAAGTAATTTGCTTGATTTTCCGGGTATTTTTCTGGGGTAAGGGTTTACAGCTTTCAATTAAAATAGAGCAAAGACCAGGGAACTGAAAAGGAAGGTAATGTTATGTGTATGGGAAGAGAAATCAAATCCTCTTTCTAGCCTACAAGATATGCTTCAGCAGGGACAAGAAACAATTAAGTAAACGTCATTTAAATAGATAAATAGCTAGACAGACAGATACAGACATATATCATTTGCTTCACAGAATAATTTACATCTAAGCCACTTGCACCTGACTAGTCACAAATAAGATTTTCTTTCAACAATGCAACTTCACTAATTCCATTATGTTATTGGCAATAAATCACATTAAGCTGTATTTTTTCTATATTTTTCCTTGGAATTTACCAAAGACTGGCAGATCTTGGGAACAGACAGGTATGAGAACTGCATAAGCAGCTGAGTGTTGGGCGGCGAGGTGGGAGACAAGGTAGTACACACGTGACCTTCTCTAGCATTACGTGTGGGCAGTTTCCAAGCTTAAACACATATGTCCTTATAAAATGTATCTGTAAGTTGGCCACAGGGACTTCCAACTAGGTTTTACCAGAAATAACTTTCCATAAAAATGGAATTAGGCCTGCAGGCCAGTTCACAGAACTCTATTTAATCCTCAGTATACTAAAGGGTGCTGGGTGCACAGTTCTGAACAGAGAGACCTTACACCCAGAGCATGAAAGCTGTGGGCTCTCTTTGCAAAGAATTTAAAAGCAGCCTCACTGGTCCCTTTGCCTTGTTGCAGCAACCCCTCACCCCCAACCCCGTCCACAAAGGTGACTCCTCTTTCTAGCCCCGGTGCCATGACCAAGCTGACCAGACCTCTGCCCCTGCCATCCATGATCTCGGAGGCCCTGACTTCTCTTTCTCTTCCTCTCCTACTGGAGCTTCCTCAGGTGAGTGTGGGAAAAAGCACAAAATTAAATAGAGTTGTACTAATGCATGAATTCTCTCCTAGTCAATCGCTCTTTCCTGCTCCAAATTCAGTTCTGTCAATGTTTTTAATCTAAGGGTAGTTTGCCTTTTTATGTGTTCTTATTCTCCTCTTCAGAAGCTGTGTGGCTTCTGAAGTGTGCATTTTTCAAAATGGCCTCAGTGGCAACTTCAGCCAGGGCTTTGTAGAAGGGGTTTGTGGGGAGGGGTAACCTGAATTTACAGATGCTAACATTGTTACTGCCACTGAGGTGTTATGGCTTTTGGGGAGCACAGGTGCTGTACCTCCACATGATGCTTGGCAGGTTCCGGGTACCATCCAGGCCGATTGAACCAGTTTCTCTGGGATGTCATCAAGTATCTCTATTTTAAGTGTTTCCAAAGTCCAGCTTCTTCTTTGAAAGTACTTTCCCATCTACTTTCTCATCTACCTCCCCCTTTTGGTTCAACCTGGAGTGAGTCCTGGCTGGTTTGCTACCATGCACTCAGTACAGACATTTAAATAATCCAACAGAGACTGGCAGGGGTAGGAGCTGACCTGCTAATTTTGCTTCTGTCTCCTAGACTTAACTCTACGTGAATCCTTTTATTAACATCAAAACAATAAACAACCTGACTTGCCCCACCTGCTATCAATACCTTCTCCACCCAGCAGCTGGAAAGAGCTTTCCACGGGGCTACTCCTCTGATTAACCCCCTCCTTTTTCATTGAATTGAATATAACCCCCATGCCTCTAATGCCCTGATTGCTCCCCAATCCTACCATCTTGCTCTTGAGCTGCCTTCCCCTCACAGTATAGGCTCCCACAGGCCTCGGTCTGGGCTCTGCTTGTACAGCTCCTCCCTGCCCTTGGTCTGAGAACATCTATTGTTTTCTTTACATGTCAGCTTGGAAGTCATTGTCATGACCACTCTCTATTCTAGTACTTTTCCATTCATATCACTATTTATAGTTATCCTACTTAATTCTCTACCCTTCTCTCTCTCTCTTTTTCTCTTTCTCCTTCCCTCTCTCTCTCTCTCTCTCTCTCTCTCTCTCTCTCTCTCTTCTTTTTGTCACTCTTGTGTGAGGACAGAGAAGTCACACAATGATTGGGGAGCCTCAGAAGTACTCAAATAACTGCTGACTGACTGAATTACCCCAAATAAGTCATTCATTCACTCAGCCCTCACTGTGCACTGAGGATACAGTGAGGTGTGAGGCAAAGAGAATCTGAATATGGCCTAGGACAGAGAAGGACAATCTTATGTCTTGGAGTAATCCTATGATACCTCATGGTTCCATAATTAGATTTAATTTTTGTTATATGAAGATATCGTGTCAGTAAACTAAGTAATGTCTACCTTCATTTGAATAAAGTTGAGAGAGCGAAGGAGGAAAAGGTCAAGAGGAGAGGGGGAGGGAATGGGAGACAAGATGAAGGCAGTTCAGTAATGTTTCTATTCCCTGAAAACTGAAAGAAATTATCCTTAGTCAACAGAAGGTAGGATTCAACTCATTAAATTTAAAAAAATAAAGCAAAACATATGCACCCAGAGGAGTGTGCTATTTCAAACCAATCCCACTGTCCTCAGAGAAGCGCTCCAGAAACATGTGAACAAAGAAAGTTGTCAATGACCACTATCAAGAAGGTTGTGTTATCTGGATAAATTAAATCTAATTAATCTGACATCATTGGGAATAGAGTAGTCTATATAATATAGGAATGTAAAACCATTGCTCAGATAACAAGTTCTAAACAGAAAATGTGTCATTTCTATGATGTATGATTCTGTACCTTTTACATGGAGTATATCGCTAATTTTCTTCTTTCTACTCAGGGTCATTGTTGCTATCAAATATCACCCAAGTTATAAATAGAGGGATACTTGGGCCATTTGTCTCTATTGCTTACTGGGCTAAATTGCAATGTTCTAAAGTTTTTGTTTGCATTTATAGATTTGCTGTCTTTATTGCATGCTCAATCTTTCAGCTGCCATTCCTTCTTGTCATTAGGAAACCTGGCTCTTGCAAATTTCCTGCTTATATAATTGCTGCTTCTAGTAGCTATGGATGAGCCATTAGCTAATCTGACAGGGCAGGGGTGTCAGGGGGGATGAAGAGACAGGAAACTGCAGGGCACCATCTTTTTAGGAAGAAGTTTACTGGTGTGGGGAGTGAGGCAAAAATGGTGAGTAGCAGTTAGTTCATCAGTGTTTAGCATACTCAAAGAGAAATAAGCAAGTATCACACTTCAGAGTGGGCCAGAGACAAGCCTTGTTTCCCCATGAACTAGACAGAACTGCCGGCCAGGAGTAGAGACAGCAGAGTGCTGATGAGAAAGTGTTGAGAACGTAATCCTCATTCAAGCTCCCTATTACCTACTCTTGTGGTCCTACTCCCAAACTCTCCCTCTGGGAGCAAATAGCTGCCCTTATAAAGAACTAAAAAAATTATAAACCTTATAAAATAAAACAAAATAAAATAAAATGAATAAAGTAAAAAATAAGATAAAAGATAAAAATGACAGGAAGAAGGAAAAGCAAAAGTCTCATGTGCCTCTTGTGCACAGAGAATAATGTAAGACAAAAATGCCTGCCTTTATGGACCCTGTGTTGTCCTATAATATAATAATCAATAAATGTAAATCAGATAATATCTTCTATTAAAGATTCACAGATGTGATGAAAAACAAAACCCCAAATTTGTGCTATATTTCAGATATGCTTTCTTTTTTCCAGATATGCTTTTAAAACAACAAAAAGGGGCCTCCCTGGTGGCGCCAGGGGTTAAGACACAGCACTATGAAGCTATCTGCAGCCACTGCAGCACGAGTTTGATGCCTGGCCAGAGAGTTGATCCACATGGCGCAGCAGACCTCTCCTGTCTCACCCACTGCTCCCCTCAGCAGTGTATTTTGGTAAATCTGCCTGTTCTGCTCCCCACTCTGTCTCTGGTGAATCCTTTCACCCACTGCATCTGGACTGTACCCCAGCTCTTGTGTGCATAAATAAATAAATCTTTAAAAAAATAAATAAATAAATAACAAATAGTAAAGACATAAAGAATGAGCAAAGACATAACAAGCAAATGAAAACATAAAGCAAAAAAGCAAGGCTAAGATATTAAGTACACATAAGGTTAATTTAAAGACAGATTAACTGGGCAAAAATACCTTGGCAGGTTCCATGAGCATGTTTCTTAGTACCATGAAACTACCTTAGCACCAGAAGGCTCTTTGCTGTGGTGAGCCCTCAATAAGAGGTGTTGAATCACAAGAAATGAGGGGAAGAGATAGAACCAATCAAATAACACAGTCATATGTATGCAAATATATGATATATACACATGTATATGATATTTAAATACATATGTATGTAAACATATGTGTTATATAAAGATTTTTTTTGTTGGAAAATAACAGAACCCCCAATTATTGGCCCAGGCAAAATTCAGTAATATAAATACCACACATGGTCTTTGGATTCTTTTCAATAAAAATCTAACGCCAAATGCAATGTGGATTCTGCTTCTACTTTCAATAATGGGGTGAGTGTATCTAACCGACACCGGCTTCAGTTCAATCACCTGTGGGTAATGAGGTGGAGGGTTATGATGAACTTTCAGGTGAAATATATCTTGAAAGAAACTTTGTGATTTCATTGTTACTAAAATAAGTAGGAACACAATGTTTTAAATCTATATGATATACAGATTTAAACATAAAATATTTTTGGAAGGAATTATTCTTGACTGCACCTTTCATTTTTCAGTGTTACAACCTCTTCCTGTGTCTTTTTCAGAAGAGCTTTGGTTATCTCTAGCTCATTTTCTGCAAGGTTCATTCTTCTTTTTGTGTCCTCTTCTTGCCTTTCTTTTGCAGTTAGTTCTTCCTGTAAAGTCTTATATATTTGTTGACAAGCCATTAAAGAGTCTTCTTTTTCTTTAAGCAATCTTGTATGCCTAAAATGAAAAATATACATTTGATGCTTAACAATCATATATGAAAAATCCATTTGAAACACAACTATAAACTTATTTTAAAAAATTAAGAATGCCAAGAAAATTGAATATTTCGGTGATACAAAAATTTTCCTATCTAGTCAGAGCCAAATCAATGAAGAGTTGATTATAAACTCAAATCAGATATTGGCTATGCAAACAATTCAGTCAGAAAAGCTAAGTACATTTTAAAATTGAATGTTTGGTGGGCCTCCTCTGGTGGCGCAGTGGTTGAGTGCGCTGGGCTGCGAAGCTGCCCGCAGCCTCTGCAGCGCCGGTTCCATCCCCGGCCACTGGCAAGGGTCCCACATGGCACGCAAACCTCTCCTGCTGTGCCCACTGCTCCCCTCAGCAGTGTGTTTTGTCAGTCTGCCTGTTCTGTTCCCTGCTCTGGCTCTGGTGAATCCTCTCATCCTCCCGCGGTTCTGACTGTACCCAGTGCTTATATAAATAAATAAATAAATCTTTTAATTAAATAAATAAATAAATAAATAGAATGTTTGGTAACTATGGTTTTGACATTAGTTACTAAATACTTTAATTAATAAATTTGCAATGTATACCGTGAGTCAGAAATAATGGATTCAAACTTCAGTTTTCTAAGTTCTCTTTGACAGTCATCAGCTTCATTAGATTTATTCCTAAAATAATACAAAAAAGGGTCAAATGTTTTATCTCAAAATAGTTAACACATACATGTTTTGCTTTCCTTAAATGTTTTTCCTTTATTACTTTTCTTATCTTGACAGTCTTTTTGAGGTTGAATATGCACATTTCCTTCAAATTAGGAATATATCATCAAAGTTTTTCTTTGCCAAAAAACAGACTAATTTGCAAGTCTTACTATACACTTTTTTTCTGTATCATTTTATTTATCCATAGAAAAAATTTGTTAGCATCATTTCGTATCATCTCATTATTCTTAAAAAAAAATTCAGTAATATAAATACCACATATGATTTTAAACCTGAGGGCAGGCCCCTGTCTGTACTATGCAGGGAAGCTAAACTCCTGGTTGAAAGCTCACAGTTGTTCTGATCAGAAGCACAGAGAACTGTATTTGGGGAAACCACTGTTTCTGGAGAGTGAAGGGTAAATACTGAAGAGGCGAGAGCTAAAGAGGGAGCCCCAGTCCTGCCCGCAACCTCTATCCACACATCTAACTGCGCCCTGAACCACAAGCACACAGGGCACTCCAAGCATCAGTTAAGAGCTGTGCTGCTGTTTGTAACCAAATTAGTTGTTAATTCAAAGTAGCCTTACTCACACCCCCATTACACTCCTACCATTTGGAGAAATATAACAGAATCCAGAGTTCTCCAAAATATGACATTCACAATGTCAAGAATATAATAAAAGTTGCTCAACTTAGGAAGAAACAGAAAAGCATGATTATTCTCTAGAAAAACAATTGCAGAGCTGACTCCGAGAAGACACAGACACTGAAATTATCAGACAAGGAGCTTTGAAGGAGCAATTACATCTGTGCTCAAAGACATCAAAGAGAACTATTCTTATTAATAAATAAAAAGATTATAAATCTCAGCAGAGATATAAAACCATTAAAAAAACAAATGGAAATTGTAAAACTGAAATAAACATTTATCTTGATCTTGTATGATTCGGTTTTATAATAATACCCCAAAGTTAATACATTAAGAAATTAATATTTTAGTTTAAATTTGTATAGACTACTCATTAATAAATCACTACTCAATATAGCTTAAAACATTTTATAAACTGCAATGGAATGTTAGGTTATCCGTGAGTTTTCCCTACTTGAAGAATGATTTTAATTCCTAATAACTAATTTATTTGTATCATGAACAGGAAAAAATAAATTTCTAAAAGATTTTAATGTAAAATATGATAAAGTTATAAGATGTAGAAAGTTACATAAAAATTATATAACAAATATAAGGAAAACACTCATGTAAGTACCATTAAGTCAAAAATAAAACCTTACCAGCTACCCTAAAAGCATCATGTTTCTGTTCTCAATCACAGGCCAGCTGCCTCCTCCTGAAAAGCAGCGTTCTCATGAATTTTATGGTAATCATTTTGATTTTCTTTGGAGCTTTATTATTTAAGTTTTATTCCTTAACATTGTTTTAGCTTTTTCTTTTGCAAAAAAGAGTAGCTTTTAAAAATGAGTTATTTCCTTTATTATCCATTCTTTTGTAAACAACTCTGGAGTTGTTTCTTTTTACTGTCCTGATGTATTCTCTTTCAGGAATTCCTAAAAGTTCTTATCATTTATGGCAGTCTTTTTTGTTAGCTTTCTTTATCTATGTTTATCCTCATAGCACTAGCTGAAAAGAGTACATTCCTTAGCTATATGTAACACATGCTATGTATTAACATAATAAAATGATATATTATGCAATAAATTTGTATTTCATAGCATCTACTTTTTCATTACTTCAAGGAGGTCTTTCCTAAATCAATTTAGATAATTAAATCTACTTACAAATAGAATGTGTAGAAAATGTCATGATCGACTCCAGACATCAGTAGCCCTCCACCTCTTTTGCAAACACTGCTGACTGCCTTCTGGACCTGCATTACCCCTTTCTTCCTGGCTGTTAGAGCTTCATTACTGTCTGCTGCCAGGTAAATCCTGCTTGGTCTAAGCTAATTGTGATAGTTGTTGACAGTGATTCATTTAGGGAGGAGATGTAAAGGTTTCTAGTCGAAAAATGTAAGGATAGGGCTGTTTGGTGACTTCTGGTTATTTTTTTTCTCATCTTTAAGGAGACACTATAAACTTAGGCCCCTCCTGACTCTGGGGTGGCTACATCTGGAGGTGGTACCTAGAATCGTACCATCTCTTCTTCGCAATGAGTGAGCCTTGGGGTGAAGCCAATCAGGGAGGGAGGGTAGACACAGAGAGACATGATCCTTAGAGATATTGCTGAGTCACCAGACCACTGGATCTAAAGCAACTCTACCTCTGCTACTTGCAGGCCAAAGCATCCTAACTGACAATCTCTGGTTTCAAAATGCACGTAAGTTCTTATAAACCTCAGGGGGAAAAAGAACCTTAAGTTCATCCATTTAAAAACTGCCTCCTCTCTTTAAGTAAAATCCATAAAACTTATGTCCAAATATTTAAAACACTTTAACCAACAAAAGTTTATCTTAAGCTGGATAGGTGAACCCACTCTTATCCCCGACCCCCATAAAGCATATGGATTAAAGATTTAAAGGGACCTGACTTCATAGCCCCTTCCAATTTCCAGAAGTTCAAAGAGGTTTGTGTACCTGTCGTAAATCCCAGTTTGTTAACAAAATGTAAGCCAAAATTTTTGAAGGAATTATTTTGTCATCAAATTGAACCTATCATTAAACAAGGGGCAAGTCACAACCCTGGTTTTAACCTATCAATATGATAGTACTTATGAATCACTGGGGACTTCCTAAACCCTACCACCAAACTTCCAGGTCTCTGACCCTAAAGGCCCACCCACCTCAGCTTCATCCCAGATGGGGAGGTAGGGTGGATGGTGCAGAGACAGAAGAGCTAGAAATAAGTAGCACAGAAAAAGGTTCCCAGCAGCTGAGGACATTTAAGTGGCTCTATTTATCATAACTCAAATTTTCTAAACATGGATATTCTGCCTATTTTCTAATTTTAACAAGTTCTTATATAGACAGAAGCACCTATTTCATAAACTAATACATCAGTATTTCTGAAATTGTGTAGTGATTCACTTGATGGAATGTAGTTAGGTGGTATGTTTCTCTCCCTAATTCCAGTCTATGATGACTCTTATCATAACTCACCACTCACATTAGAAATTATGTTAAAAATACAATTAACAAAATATACCACAAAGTATGTATTAATATTAATGGAAAGCTCCCTTGTAAATAGAGAATACTGTGCAAACTTATTCAGTGAAAATGAATTCCTGTCACACCAATGAGCTTGCTCCCTATTCCTCAGTATACCTATCTGTGGGTGGCTTCTCTCCTAACTTGCCAGAACTCCATCTAAATGCTGTCTTAGCTTGTCGACAAGCTCCCTTTAATTTAGCAGGGTGCTGATCCTACCCCTCCCACTCCCCGACTCCTGGTCCTTGTCCTTTGCCTATGTTGAAAGTATAAATACTCAAGTTGCACAGGAGCTGTGGTCTGCCTTGGCTGTCTTCACAGGGTAGGACCAAAGCCCTCGCAGATGTTACTAGAGGGTGGAGAATAATGATTTTTTTCTCGCAATAGCCAGAAAGTTCCTTCATGTTTCTTTTCACCCAGAAACTTACTTCTTGAGCTCAATAAGCCCTCCAAGAATCTCTCTGTCCACTTATTCCTTCAGCCCACTCATCATACACAGGCAGTTGAACTATTGTATGCATTGTCTGCATAAACACAGTATTATAAAGCATGACTATTTGTTTTTTCTTGTTTTCAAAAACAAATTATTTTGCTACAAATAACCTAGTATATATTAATTTCACAGGGCATTTTTGGAATTTGTTTTTCCTTGTGTTGTTAAGAATTTTATTAAACACATTATTCTTAGGAGTAGTCCATGGTCGCCACAACATTTGGTTGCTAAGCATTCTAAATATTTATATTTCTTGTGAGTTTCATCCTTCCAAAATACAGGAACTGAAAACCAGAGGTACCAGATTATATACCACAAAATAAAAGAATTTACTATTCAAAGATTATATAAATCCTATGTTTGTGTTATAATTATAGATGTACTATATTTATACTATACAGTAATTTTTGAAATTTCTGAAATAAATTTATTTTTATAAGAATAGTGCTGTGGATATTTTATACAGGCATCTTCTTATCATTTGCTTTCCAACATTTTTTTCTCACTTACATAAAGCATAAGTCTCCAGCATTTCAAAGATATTCAACTGTCTTTCTGAACCTAAAATTGGTAATTATAAGAAACAACTGCGATGCTATTTTTTTTGTGGAGACATAATAAAGAGACAACCATAAAAGAAAAAGCTCAGAGAATATTAGAGATAATGTTACTGCATTTGAATAACCAGGGGAGGTTTTAGTAATTGCATAGGGGAAATTCTTATTGAGGGGAAAAAATACTTCACATCTCTTAAATGCTTATGGGTTCTTCAATATAGGATCTAGGCCAGAAAAGCAGCTGAGAAAAGTTGCTGTAGATCACACCCACAAAAAAGAACCACTGCTTAAAGAGTCACAGAGAACCCTGGAGGTCTAGCAAAATCTCTCTCCTGTACATGTCCACAGGACATTGTAGTCTGATAGGATACTTGGAATTCACATCTTACATGAACATTTCTTTGTAGTTGTCCGCCTCTGCCACTGCCCTCTGAAGTCTTAGCCCAAGTGATTCTACTTGACTTTGTAAATCTGAAATGACACAAAGCATTCATCTGATTAGTACATTTTAAATATCCAAACAGAAAGCAAGCCATATTCCAGGGTTGCCACTTTTCCCTTAGAATGATGAAGCTGTGAATATTACTCAGCTATCAAAAAATATAAACTCATGCAGTTTGCAGCAACATGGATGGAGCTGGAAGGGATCATGCTCAGTGAAATAAGCCAGAAAGAAAAAGAAAAATACCGGATGGTCTCACTCATAGCAGGAATTTAGAAAACCTAAATAAGGGACCAGGAAAAAGACTAATTACAATAAAGTAAAAATCAAAATCAACAAGCAACTATAAACCAGAGACACCCTATGGGGGTGAGGTGGAGTGGGGAGGAGGGAGTAGGATCAAAACAAGGGGGCTGGGAATTGTATGGGGACTATAACCAAGATGAAAATGCATACATCGTGCAAAAATAAAAAATGACGTAAAAACGTATATAAAATAAAATAAATATAAATAAAAATTTTTTTAAAAAAAAGAATGATAAAGCTGTGTAGTCCACTTTGTCTTGATGACCTTTGATGCACCTCCTCAGTCCTGCTCTGAAACCCCACAGGATGAATGGGCTTTGACAGACCCATTGTTGGTCTCTTTCTGCCCCTAATATCTTGCTCATTTTCAAACAGTTAACAATTTACTAATGTTTTCAAAAGAAGCTCAAGGAGCTGGCACACATGTGACTTGTGATCACGTGTCTCACTTCTGACTTAACGGCTGAAGTGAACTCTTATGATCCAAGCCAGAAGTAGAGCCTGGCCTCCTGGTAAACCTGAAACACAGAAACCATGTGCCAGACTCCTGGTAAATAAAGACTTTGTTAGCTCATTATAGCAATGAATAGGCATTTTTATGATTTTATTTTATTTTTTTTAAAGATTTATTTATTTATTTATACAAGCACTGGGTATAGTCAGAATCACAGGAGGGTGAGAGAATTCACCAGAGCCAGAGCAGGGAACAGAACAGGCAGACGAAATACACTGCTGAGGGGAGCAGCGGGCATGGCAGGAGAGGTCTGTCGCGCCATGTGGGCCCCTTGCCAGTGGCTGGGGATCAAACTGGTGCTGTAGAGGCTGGGGGCAGCTTTGCAGCCCAGCGCTCAACCACCTGCGCCACCAGGGGAGGCCCCATTTTGATGATTTTAAAGGCCGAAAAATTTAAGTAGAAAATTGACTTCCACAGAGTCTTGATCTGGGGGATTCAAATTGTGTGTGAGGAAGACTGCTCCAAGGCAGCATGTCTAACACGTGCGTGGAAGCAGAGCTGAAGTCAAAGCAGAAAGGACAGATGGGTGGGAAGATCCGATCCCTGCTGTAACCTGCCGTAAGGACGGCAGCTGGGGCCCTACACCCAACAGCAGCCTTTGCTGGAAAAGAAAATGGAAAAGAAAATGGAAAGTGGAAAAGAAATGTACACAGATTGACTGTTTTTTTATAGAGAAAATAACTTAAAATACAGGGATTATGTCTGTGTTACATCTGTTCAGGTGTCTTAAACATATTTTTCTAGTAAACTTTCAAATTTTCACATATGTGTACAAAGATATAAAATTTATATTTATGTATAAATCTGTATCTATATCTCTTTTGCCTGCCTTCTTAATTTTGATGAAGACCCAGTTCCTTAAATCAGAAAATAATTCACTCTAAATGTTTTATTAGAATTTATCAGAATTGATATAAATCATTATGCTTATCTAATACTTTCACATACATTATTCAAACTGCCATGGAGGTCCTAATAGCTCCATTTTTCAGTTGAGGAAAAAATGAGATCGCCTGTAATTCTTTGCCCGGTATCTTACAATCAGCAAATGCGTCAACCAGAAGTCAAAATGATTCATGATTTTAAATTCAGTGAAAGGGATCAATTTGAGAGGGTAGCGCCTTAGACCATGATTCAATAAAACTTACTTGATAGATAGTATTTGCAGGGATGTCCTCTCCATTTTTCAAGCAATATATGGGACAAAAGATAAAATCACACACACAGAGGATTTATTTTTTAGTATAACCTTTTGCAACAAGGAAATCTCTTACCAATCTTATGTAATGTGCTGCTTTGTTACTGAGCTGCTATGGGCTTTCAGCCGGGTTCAATACACACAGGATGGACCAAAAGATTTCCCTGTATTCTCTAAGAACATGGGGTAAAGGAAGGTTTGTTTGTTGATGGAGTGCTATGCTCAGGCACTGAGCAGAGGGCTTTCTCATATATAATTTCATTCATATCACAATTACCAATAAAAAATAAATATTTTACAGGCCTCCCCTGGTGGCACAGCAGTTGAGCGCTGGGCTGCAAAGCTGCCTGCAGCCTCTGCAGCACCAGTTCGATCCCCGGCCACCGGGCAAGGGTCCCACATGGCACGACAGACCTCTCCTGCCATGCCTGCTGCTCCCCTCAGCAGTGTATTTTGTCCGTCTACCTGTACTGTTCCCCGCTCTGGCTCTGGTGAATTCTCTCAACCTCCCGCATTTCTGACTGTACCCAGTGATTGTGTAAATAAATAGATAGATTCTGAGAATCAGTGATTACGGACTTTTCAAAGATGATGTAACTAGTCAGAAGTGACCTGTGATTCAAATTCAGGTTGGTCTCATCTGAAAGTCCTGATCTTTCTAATTCTCTTACACTGACTCAAAATAGAAAAGCTACAAGGGGTCATGATACTTGTCAATAAAAGCATGGTTAGTGCAGCTATAATCTATTTACTACATCCCCAAATCTTTCAGGAGGTGTACTTAAGAAAAAATGAAAAGTACATTTTACATAAAATATGTAGTGAGTTAGTAGAATGTTTAATTCCAAAGGTGATTTAAATTTTTGAAAGTTTAAAATTTAATATAATTAGGTAAGATATGAAGATATATATGTGGGTATCATTGTGACCCACTTTATGAGCTAACATCACTTCCTCCTACTAAATGTCCCTTAGTGCTTTGTCAGGATGTAATCTTGAAGTGGGTGAAGCACAGGTCTGAGTCTATGTGACAAATTTTATGTTATTACTTTTATTTATTTATTTATTTATTAAATATGGAATGCTTCACGAATTTGCATGTCATCCTTGCGCAGGGGCCATGCTAATCTTCTCTGTATCATTCCAATTTTAGTATATGTGCTGCCGAAGCCAGCACTGTTATGACTTTTAAATGCAGCTTTTGTTAAGAGGAAAAATTCATTATCTTAAAAATAAACTCCAAATACTAGAATCCAATAAATGAATTTTATACAATAAATTCTTAATTAGAAGAGCAGAAAGTAAAAATGGCAGCAAATTCAAAACCTATTTTTATACTACTGAAAAATATTCCTAGGCTCAGACTTGAATATACTTGTGCATCACAATTCTAGATTTACCAAGCTTAAAAAAAAATTAACTACACAATCATAACCCAACTCAAGAAAGGAAAAGCTATTCCACTTTTCAGTATTATTCTCTCTCTCTAGTCACTGTATTTCCTTTTCTCCCTATTTCAAGATATGCACAGATGGCTTGCTCTTTAAATCACAGTACTCAATGACCAGAGAAGCCACTGCCTTCAGATGATTCATTTATGTATTTTACAGCATCTCTGAGTAAAAATAAGGAAAGCAAATAAATGTTTTACTTTCAAACACAGAAACTTCTGAAGACTGTCATGTGAAGTAAGTAGACACAGGAAATAAAATAATGTCAACAAAGAAACCACTTTAATATAAGCAGAGAAAATACACACGGAATCAAGAAAAAGGATTCATTACAAATAATTCATAATATAAACAGCCCACCAATGTATAATTAGGAGTTGATTAATTTGTTTACTATGCTGTTTTGTGTCTTTTTTTTTTTTAACTTCGGGTTATATTTTCTCTAATAATGAAGTGCTGAAATTGTTTTTGAAAAGCACAGGACATATCTGCCCTGTTCTGGATGAGGCATAGCTCCCTTTGGTTTATTATTGGTTCTAGTGCCGTAGTAGGGCCCTTTTGTTTTGGGAAGCAAAGTGCTCAGTTCCTGTTCTTAGTAAATAAAGGAACACAGTTAGGAGAAATAGCAGAGAGAGAAAGCCACCTGCATAAGACAGCTCCTTCAGTTCTGAGGCAAGGAGTTCTTAAATAAGTGCATTGTTCTGTGCAGTTCTTTTCTATAGTTAAATAAATTCAACTTCAATTTTCTGTCATTCAGCATGACATTGGATTATGAGGCAATAGGCCCTGAATGCCTACAAAAAGAAAGGAAGCATTGGCTTTAAACACCATGCAGATGTAAGGCGGAACCCATGGAAACAATCCAAAATTCACAACAGCAAATTCTACTAGGATGTGACTGCCTTCTTTGCAGATATTAAATAAGAAGCAAATGATTTGAAATGAACAAGACAAAAAAGAGCTCTTAGCCTCTCTTCATACGAAGCCAGCTGCTTTCTGGATAGCATTACACAAGCAACAGATTTGGGGTAATTAGTCATTTAAGAGAATCCTATTATTCTGAAAGGTTTCTAGAAACTAGATATACAAAAGGTATTCATAGTTAGCTATTTTATAGAAGGATACAACACTTGATGGTCACTTGGTGCAAATATTAAATTAGGATAAAGTTTGAGAAAACAATAAATTAGGTCTTTTGAGTGAAAACATTTCAAACTTAAAAATTTCTAATTAAAGACAACAAATATTAATAAAAAAATAAGTAAGTAAATAATTTAGTTCAAACTGCTCTGTGGAGGTTTCAAGTAGCAGAATGGGGCCTCCCTGGTGGTGCAAGGGGTTAAGACGCAATCTATGGAGCTGTCTGCAGCCTCTGCAGCACGAGTTCGATCCCCTGGCTTACCAAAGAGCAACCCACATGGCACGGCAGACCTCTCCTTACTTACCTGCTGCTCCCTTAATCAATGTATTTCAGTCAATCTGCCTGTTCTGTTCCCCACTCTGTCTCTGGTGAATCCTCTTCCTCTCCAAACCCCTGGCCTATACTCCAGCTCTTGTATG